ACAGTTGGTGGGGGGCTGGTCACTGCCAGAGTGCTGCTCCACAGTTGGTGGGGGGCTGGTCACTGCCAGAGTGCTGCTCCACAGTTGGTGGGGGGCTGGTCACTGCCAGAGTGCTGCTCCACAGTTGGTGGGGGGCTGGTCACTGCCAGAGTGCTGCTCCACAGTTGGTGGGGGGCTGGTCACTGCCAGAGTGCTGCTCCACAGTTGGTGGGGGGCTGGTCACTGCCAGAGTGCTGCTCCACAGTTGGTGGGGGGGGGGGCTGGTCACTGCCAGAGTGCTGCTCCACAGTTGGTGGGGGGCTGGTCACTGCCAGAGTGCTGCTCCACAGTTGGTGGGGGGGGGGCTGGTCACTGCCAGAGTGCTGCTCCACAGTTGGTGGGGGCTGGTCACTGCCAGAGTGCTGCACCACAGTTGGTGGGGGCTGGTCACTGCCAGAGTGCAGCCCCACAGTTGGTAGGGGGGGCTGGTCACTGCCAGAGTGCTGCACCACAGTTGGTGGGGGGCTGGTCACTGCCAGAGTGCTGCACCACAGTTGGTGGGGGGCTGGTCACTGCCAGAGTGCTGCACCACAGTTGGTGGGGGTGGGGGGGCTGGTCACTGCCAGAGTGCTGCTCCACAGTTGGTGGGGGCTGGTCACTGCCAGAGTGCTGCTCCACAGTTGGTGGGGGGCTGGTCACTGCCAGAGTGTTGCTCCACAGTTGGTGGTGGGGGCTGGTCACTGCCAGAGTGCTACTCCACAGTTGGTGGGGGGCTGGTCACTGCCAGAGTGTTGCTCCACAGTTGGTGGTGGGGGCTGGTCACTGCCAGAGTGCTGCTCCACAGTTGGTGGGGGCTGGTCACTGCCAGAGTGCTGCACCACAGTTGGTGGGGGCTGGTCACTGCCAGAGTGCAGCCCCACAGTTGGTAGGGGGGCTGGTCACTGCCAGAGTGCTGCACCACAGTTGGTGGGGGGCTGGTCACTGCCAGAGTGCTGCACCACAGTTGGTGGGGGTGGGGGGGCTGGTCACTGCCAGAGTGCTGCTCCACAGTTGGTGGGGGCTGGTCACTGCCAGAGTGCTGCTCCACAGTTGGTGGGGGGCTGGTCACTGCCAGAGTGTTGCTCCACAGTTGGTGGTGGGGGCTGGTCACTGCCAGAGTGCTGCTCCACAGTTGGTGGGGGGCTGGTCACTGCCAGAGTGCTGCTCCACAGTTGGTGGGGGGCTGGTCACTGCCAGAGTGCTGCTCCACAGTTGGTGGGGGGCTGGTCACTGCCAGAGTGCTGCTCCACAGTTGGTGGTGGGGGCTGGTCACTGCTAGAGTGCTGCTCCACAGTTGGTGGGGGGGCTGGTCACTGCCAGAGTGCTGCTCCACAGTTGGTGGGGGGCTGGTCACTGCCAGAGTGCTGCACCACAGTTGGTGGGGGGCTGGTCACTGCCAGAGTGCTGCACCACAGTTGGTGGGGGGCGGGTCACTGCCAGAGTGCTGCTCCACAGTTGGTGGGGGCTGGTCACTGCCAGAGTGCTGCTCCACAGTTGGTGGGGGGCTGGTCACTGCCAGAGTGCTGCTCCACAGTTGGTGGGGGGCTGGTCACTGCCAGAGTGCTGCTCCACAGTTGGTGGGGGCTGGTCACTGCCAGAGTGCTGCTCCACAGTTGGTGGGGGGGCTGGTCACTGCCAGAGTGCTGCTCCACAGTTGGTGGGGGGCTGGTCACTGCCAGAGTGCTGCTCCACAGTTGGTGGTGGGGGCTGGTCACTGCCAGAGTGCTGCTCCACAGTTGGTGGGGGGCCTGGTCACTGCCAGAGTGTTGCTCCACAGTTGGTGGGGAGCTGGTCACTGCCAGAATGCTGCTCCACAGTTGGTGGGGGGCTGGTCACTGCCAGAGTGCTGCTCCACAGTTGGTGGGGGGCTGGTCACTGCCAGAATGCTGCTCCACAGTTGGTGGGGGGCTGGTCACTGCCAGAGTGCTGCTCCACAGTTGGTGGGGGGCTGGTCACTGCCAGAGTGCTGCTCCACAGTTGGTGGGGGGCTGGTCACTGCCAGAGTGCTGCTCCACAGTTGTGGTGGGGGGCTGGTCACTGCCAGAATGCTGCTCCACAGTTGGTGGGGGGGGGCTGGTCACTGCCAGAGTGCTGCTCCACAGTTGGTGGGGGTGGGGGGGGGGGCTGGTCACTGCCAGAGTGCTGCTCCACAGTTGGTGGGGGGCTGGTCACTGCCAGAGTGCTGCTCCACAGTTGGTGGGGGGCTGGTCACTGCCAGAATGCTGCTCCACAGTTGGTGGGGGTGGGGTGGGGGGCTGGTCACTGCCAGAGTGCTGCTCCACAGTTGGTGGGGAGCTGGTCACTGCCAGAGTGCTGCTCCACAGTTGGTGGGGGCTGGTCACTGCCAGAATGCTGCTCCACAGTTGGTGGGGGTGGGGGGGGGGCTGGTCACTGCCAGAGTGCTGCTCCACAGTTGGTGGGGGGCTGGTCACTGCCAGAATGCTGCTCCACAGTTGGTGGGGGTGGGGTGGGGGGCTGGTCACTGCCAGAGTGCTGCTCCACAGTTGGTGGGGGTGGGGTGGGGGGCTGGTCACTGCCAGAGTGCTGCTCCACAGTTGGTGGGGGTGGGGTGGGGGGCTGGTCACTGCCAGAGTGCTGATCCACAGTTGGTGGGGAGCTGGTCACTGCCAGAATGCTGCTCCACAGTTGGTGGGGGAGGGGGGGGCTGGTCACTGCCAGAATGCTGCTCCACAGTTGGTGGGGGTGGGGTGGGGGGCTGGTCACTGCCAGAGTGCTGCTCCACAGTTGGTGGGGTTGGGGGGGCTGGTCACTGCCAGAGTGCTGCTCCACAGTTGGTGGGGGGCTGGTCACTGCCAGAGTGCTGCTCCACAGTTGGTGGGGGCTGGTCACTGCCAGAGTGCTGCACCACAGTTGGTGGGGGGCTGGTCACTGCCAGAGTGCTGCTCCACAGTTGGTGGGGGGCTGGTCACTGCCAGAGTGCTGCTCCACAGTTGGTGGTGGGGGCTGGTCACTGCCAGAGTGCTGCTCCACAGTTGGTGGGGGCTGGTCACTGCCAGAGTGCTGCTCCACAGTTGGTGGTGGGGGCTGGTCACTGCCAGAGTGCTGCTCCACAGTTGGTGGGGGCTGGTCACTGCCAGAGTGCTGCTCCACAGTTGGTGGGGGCTGGTCACTGCCAGAGTGCTGCTCCACAGTTGGTGGGGGGCTGGTCACTGCCAGAATGCTGCTCCACAGTTGGTGGGGGGCTGGTCACTGCCAGAGTGTTGCACCACAGTTGGTGGGGGGCTGGTCACTGCCAGAGTGCTGCTCCACAGTTGGTGGGGGGCTGGTCACTGCCAGAGTGCTGCTCCACAGTTGGTGGGGGGGGCTGGTCACTGCCAGAGTGCTGCTCCACAGTTGGTGGGGGGCTGGTCACTGCCAGAGTGCTGCTCCACAGTTGGTGGGGGGCTGGTCACTGCCAGAGTGCTGCTCCACAGTTGGTGGGGGGCTGGTCACTGCCAGAGTGTTGCACCACAGTTGGTGGGGGGCTGGTCACTGCCAGAGTGCTGCACCACAGTTGGTGGGGGGCTGGTCACTGCCAGAGTGTTGCACCACAGTTGGTGGGGGGCTGGTCACTGCCAGAGTGTTGCACCACAGTTGGTGGGGGGCTGGTCACTGCCAGAGTGCTGCTCCACAGTTGGTGGGGGGCTGGTCACTGTCAGAGTGCTGCTCCACAGTTGGTGGGGGGCTGGTCACTGCCAGAGTGCTGCACCACAGTTGGTGGGGGGCTGGTGCCTGCCAGAGTGCTGCTCCACAGTTGGTGGGGGGCTGGTCACTGCCAGAGTGCTGCACCACAGTTGGTGGGGGGCCTGGTCACTGCCAGAGTGCTGCTCCACAGTTGGTGGGGGGCTGGTCACTGTCAGAGTGCTGCTCCACAGTTGGTGGGGGGCTGGTCACTGCCAGAGTGCTGCTCCACAGTTGGTGGGGGGCTGGTCACTGCCAGAGTGCTGCTCCACAGTTGGTGGGGGGCTGGTCACTGCCAGAGTGCTGCACCACAGTTGGTGGGGGGCTGGTCACTGCCAGAGTGCTGCTCCACAGTTGGTGGGGGGCTGGTCACTGCCAGAGTGCTGCTCCACAGTTGGTGGGGGGCTGGTCACTGCCAGTGCTGCACCACAGTTGGTGGGGGGCTGGTCACTGCCAGAGTGCTGCTCCACAGTTGGTGGGGGGCTGGTCACTGCCAGAGTGCTGCTCCACAGTTGGTGGGGGGCTGGTCACTGCCAGAGTGCTGCACCACAGTTGGTGGGGGCTGGTCACTGCCAGAGTGCTGCACCACAGTTGGTGGGGGGCTGGTCACTGCCAGAGTGCTGCACCACAGTTGGTGGGGGGCTGGTCACTGCCAGAGTGCTGCACCACAGTTGGTGGGGGGCTGGTCACTGCCAGAGTGCTGCTCCACAGTTGGTGGGGGGCTGGTCACTGCCAGAGTGCTGCACCACAGTTGGTGGGGGGCTGGTCACTGCCAGAGTGCTGCACCACAGTTGGTGGGGGGCTGGTCACTGCCAGAGTGCTGCTCCACAGTTGGTGGGGGGCTGGTCACTGCCAGAGTGCTGCACCACAGTTGGTGGGGGGCTGGTCACTGCCAGAGTGCTGCACCACAGTTGGTGGGGGGCCTGGTCACTCTTATAATCCTTCCCATGATGTTATCTGACCACTGTTGATGCATGTATTAATCATACACTGTATACTGTGTATGGGACCATCTCTCACAGTTATGGTCACCGTAGGCTTCCGGTACTGTGTATACACTGTTACTGCCACCACAGTCTGTCTGTCCTCTCCTCCTCTTATCATCATAGTCACAAGAAACACTCTCTTATCCTCTCTTGTATCAATCCTTCCTTCCCTGTGACAACATTCTCCCAAGGAGGAGACTACAGGTGAGGCAGACATGACTGTAGAGGGCGGGAGGCAGCAGACGTGTGTCTGCCAGGCCCTTCACCTCTGCTTCGTCCCCGGCAGACAGGGCAGGTGTGAGAGGAGGCGGGGAAGATGGCGCCGAAGAAGAAGGGTAAGGGTAAGGGGGACAAGCTGGCCAGGATGACGGTGGAGCAGCGTCAGCAGTACCTGGACCGTCGGGCCGCCCAGGAGGCAGAGAACAACAGACGCAAGCAGGAGCTGATCGCTGGCTTCCTCAAGGTGGGTTACTGGGTCCTCTTGTTGGTGGTGGTGTGTGTGTGTGTGTATTGTTGTTGTTGTGTGTGTGGGGTGTGTGTGTGTGTGTGTGTGTGTGTACTCACCTAGTTGTACTCACCTAGTTGTGTTTGCGGGGGTTGAGCTCTGGCTCTTTGGTCCCGCCTCTCAACCGTCAATCAACAGGTGTACAGATTCCTGAGCCTATTGGGCTCTGTCATATCTACACTTGAAACTGTGTATGGAGTCAGCCTCCACCACATCACTGCCTAATGCATTCCACCTGTTAACTACTCTGACACTGAAAAAGTTCTTTCTAATATCTCTGTGGCTCATTTAATTGAGCACTCAGTTTCCACCTGTGTCCCCTTGTGCGTGTGCCCCTTGTGTTAAATAGACTGTCTTTATCTACCCTATCAATTTCTTTGAGAATCTTGAATGTGGTGATCATGTCCCCCCTAACTCTTCTGTCTTCCAGCGATTTGAAGTTTAATTCCCGTAGTCTCTCCTCGTAGTTTGTACCCCTCAGTTAGGGTACTAGTCTGGTAAAAAAACTTTGAACTTTTTCCAGTTTAATCTTATGAGTGACTAGATATGGACTCCATGCTGGAGCTGCATACTCCAGGATTGGTCTGACATAGGTGGTATAACAAAGTTCTGAATGATTCCTTACATGGGGTGAAGGGGGAGGAAGGGTTGAATGAGCATTTGAATGGGTACAGGACGTGTTCAGGGTAAGGAGGGGTTTCTATGGGGAGGAAGGTGAGGGTGTTATCTTATAGGGTTACTGGGGTGCTGGTTGGGAGTTCCCCACTCCCCTCCGAAACTGTTGTGTTGTGGGATGTGGTTCCCTGGGTCTCTCCTCTCCCCTGCGCTTCCTCCTTGCTTATGCTGCCATTACTCTCTTCCCTCGCCATGTCCCTCTCTGTGTTTGTGTAAGTGAGTGAGTGAGTGAGTGAGTGAGTGAGTGAGGGCGTTACCCTAACTTTGCATGCTACGGTTCAGCTTCCGTTCAACCTTCACTTGACTGGTGGACATTGGTAAAGCAAAATACATTTTAGCAAAATCATTAATACGAACTGGATTATTTTTTGTTCAAATATACTTAACTGTGACTCATTTAGTACTCAGTTCCCACCATTGCGCCTTTGTTTATGTAGGTCAGATACATAGTCAAATAGTCTGTCCCTGTCATTCCTGTCCACTCCCTTAATTATTTTGTATGTGGTGATCATATCCTGATTCCTATCTCACACTAACGTACATAAGATTTTCAATCTTTAGTCTTCCCTGGAGCTCATACCTCTCAGCTCCGAGACCAGAGTATTAGTATGCCTCTCGCCTCAGGCAAGTGTGCTGTGTGTTTAGTGAGATGGTTGTTAAGGAGAGGTTGGTGGGCAGCACAATAGGCTCCGTCAGTGGTGGGAGATATGTGAAGTATTTCTGAGGGGCCTCACCGCTTCTTACTGTGGTGTCTGATGTGTGTTTGTTGGTCAGTCAATCTTTGACATGTTGTTGATAATGTCTGTCTGTCTGTCTGTCTGTCTGTCTGTCTGTCTGTCTGTCTGTCTGTCTGTCTGTCTGTCTGTCTGTCTGTCTGTCTGTCTGTCCGTCCGTCCGTCCGTCCGTCCGTCCGTCCGTCCGTCCGTCCGTCCGTCCGTCCGTCCGTCCGTCCGTCCGTCCGTCTCTCTCTCTCTCTCTCTCTCTCTCTCTCTCTCTCTCTCTCTCTCTCTCTCTCTCTCTCTCTCTCTCTCTCTCTCTCTCTCTCTCTCTCTCTCTCTCTCTCTCTTTTATGTAGTGGTTACTGTAGAGGTGACTGTAGAGGTGACTGTAGAGGTGACTGTAGAGGGTTACTATAGAGGTGACTGAGGCTCTGCACGTGTCCACAGCTCAAGTTGGCCGACGAGCAGGACAAGGGCGCCGTCAACGAGGCCAAGTTGACCACCAAGTGGAGGGAGGTCCTCCGCCAGGCCTCCACCTCCACCCTCTCCACCCAGTTCCAGGTACGCCTCCACCCTCTCCACCCAGTTCCAGGTACGCCAGGTGGTTCCAAGTACCACTTGGAACCACTAAGGGTTCCACCACCTTGGTAGGGGTAGGGGGACATGAAGGAGGTTAAGGGGAGAGGGGAAGGGAGGGGAGCGGGCGGCAGCTTGGACTGTTGTGGGGGGGGGGGGAGGGGGTCTCCAAGAAGTATCTTCATGTCGGAGTGGAGAGGTGTACACAGCTAGAGGTCACAGCCACAACTGTGGGTGGGAATGACCCGTAAACAGTGGGGTGGGGGCACTACCTCCCTTACCTTGCTTCCAGAGTGGTAAGGAGCGGGGGCTCCTTACCACACTGGAGGTAAGGTAAGGGAGGGGGGGGGTGCCACCACCCCACTGTTTACGGGTCATTCCCACCCACATTTGTCACTGTGACCTCCAGCTGCCGTGTTCACCTCTCCACTCCGACATGAAGATATTGGAGACCCCCCCCCCTCCCCCACCACAGGCAAAGAAGTGGTAAAAATATTTTCACTTCACAAGATAAAACAGAGACCCGCTCTACCAGTCAAAACTCCCCTCTCTTCCCCTCTCCCCTTAACCTCCTTCATGTGCCCTACCCCTAACCTCCCATCTTTAAAGGCCCCCCCTACCCAGTCAGGGGTAGGGGGCCCCCCTCTAGACCTCCTCAACATATCCTACATATACTGTTATTTAACTATATATCTACACACACACGATTAATTCTATGTCACATACTCATACATATTCATCTACTACTATTGACCACTTGTTCAGTTCACTACTCCCGCTTTTACTACCCCCTCCCCCCCCCCCCCCGGCAACCCTCAACGTCCCGGAAGACGTAGCCCGTCCCGGGGGACGTAGCCCGTCCTGGGGGACGTAGCCCGTCCTGGGGGACGTAGCCCGTCCCGGGGGACGTAGCCCGTCCCGGGGTACGTAGCCCGTCCCGGGGGACGTAGCCCGTCCCGGGGGACGTACGTAGCCCGTCCCGGGGGACGTAGCCCGTCCTGGGGGACGTAGCCCGTCCCGGGGGACGTAGCCCGTCCCGGGGGACGTAGCCCGTCCCGGGGGACGTAGCCCGTCCCGGGGGACGTAGCCCGTCCCGGGGGACGTAGCCCGTCCCGCCTCATGTGCGAGCATCCCGTCCGCCCCCCCTTTCTACCTTTGTGATGTACACCTGTCCCATACTTATCCCCCCTCACCCTCTTACCCATACACCCTCTTTTTACCCCCCGCGACCCACAACGTCCCCTCGACAGGACCCGTTCCACTCTACGGACTCCCCCACCCACTTTTGGCGTAAACCGAGCACTAGGGATTGGGACGGTCTACGTCTCAATTTATGCTACTACTGCAGTACACCACCACCACCCAATACACCACCACCCAGTACACCACCACCCAATACACCACCACCCAGTACACCACCACCACCCAGTACGTGTCTGCTGCAGGAGTTGAGGACGCGGGTGACGGACGCCACGACGCAGCAGGAACGTCTGATCCGTCTGCTGAGGTCCCAGGTGGAGCAGGCCCAGCTGCAGCGGACCCAAGCTGCCCACAACCACCTGTCTGCCGTCCACAGACTCACAGGTCAGTCACCCATTGTCTGCCGTCCACAGACTCACAGGTCAGTCACCCTCTGTCTGCCGTCCACAGACTGACAGGTCAGTCACCCCCTGTCTGCCGTCCACAGACTCACAGGTCAGTCACCACCTGTCTGCCGTCCACAGACTCACAGGTCAGTCACCCTCTATCTGCCGTCCACAGACTCACAGGTCAGTCACCCTCTGTCTGCCGTCCACAGACTCACAGGTCAGTCACCACCTGTCTGCCGTCCACAGACTCACAGGTCAGTCACCACCTGTCTGCCGTCCACAGACTCACAGGTCAGTCACCACCTGTCTGCCGTCCACAGACTCACAGGTCAGTCACCACCTGTCTGCCGTCCACAGACTTACAGGTCAGTCACCACCTGTCTGCCGTCCACAGACTCACAGGTCAGTCACCACCTGTCTGCCGTCCACAGACTCACAGGTTAGTCACCACCTGTCTGCCGTCCACAGACTCACAGGTCAGTCACCACCTGTCTGCTGTCCACAGACTCACAGGTCAGTCACCACCTGTCTGCCGTCCACAGACTCACAGGTCAGTCACCACCTGTCTGCCGTCCACAGACTCACAGGTCAGTCACCACCTGTCTGCCGTCCACAGTACCTGTTGCTGCTACGGTGACTGGGAGAAGAATGGCTCCCAGGGTAATGCCCCGCTATGGACGTTCCCAACAATGCCACCATCTTAGTGTACTGGTGTAAGACCACAGCACCAGTGACACACTAGGGGCAGCCAGGTATAGCAGCAGTGACACACTAGGGGCAGCCAGGTATAGCAGCAGTGACACACTAGGGGCAGCCAGGTATAGCACCAGTGACACACTAGGGGCAGCCAGGTATAGCACCAGTGACACACTAGGGGCAGCCAGGTATAGCACCAGTGACACACTAGGGGGCAGTCAGGTATAGCACCAGTGACACACTAGGGGGCAGTCAGGTATAGCACCAGTGACACACTAGGGGCAGCCAGGTATAGCACCAGTGACACACTAGGGGCAGCCAGGTATAGCACCAGACACACTAGGGGGCAGTCAGGTATAGCACCAGTGACACACTAGGGGCAGCCAGGTATAGCACCAGTGACACACTAGGGGCAGCCAGGTATAGCACCAGTGACACACTAGGGGCAGCCAGGTATAGCACCAGTGACACACTAGGGGCAGCCAGGTATAGCACCAGTGACACACTAGGGGGCAGCCAGGTATAGCACCAGTGACACACTAGTGACACACTAGGGGCAGCCAGGTATAGCAACAGTGACACACTAGGGGCAGCCAGGTATAGCAACAGTGACACACTAGGGGCAGCCAGGTATAGCACCAGTGACACACTAGGGGCAGCCAGGTATAGCAACAGTGACACACTAGGGGCAGCCAGGTATAGCAGCAGTGACACACTAGGGGCAGCCAGGTATAGCACCAGTGACACACTAGGGGCAGCCAGGTATAGCACCAGTGACACACTAGGGGGCAGCCAGGTATAGCACCAGTGACACACTAGGGGCAGCCAGGTATAGCACCAGTGACACACTAGGGGCAGCCAGGTATAGCACCAGTGACACACTAGGGGCAGCCAGGTATAGCACCAGTGACACACTAGGGGCAGCCAGGTATAGCAACAGTGACACACTAGGGGCAGCCAGGTATAGCACCAGTGACACACTAGGGGCAGCCAGGTATAGCACCAGTGACACACTAGGGGCAGCCAGGTATAGCAACAGTGACACACTAGGGGCAGCCAGGTATAGCACCAGTGACACACTAGGGGCAGCCAGGTATAGCACCAGTGACACACTAGGGGCAGCCAGGTATAGCAACAGTGACACACTAGGGGCAGCCAGGTATAGCACCAGTGACACACTAGGGGCAGCCAGGTATAGCACCAGTGACACACTAGGGGCAGCCAGGTATAGCACCAGTGACACACTAGGGGCAGCCAGGTATAGCAACAGTGACACACTAGGGGCAGCCAGGTATAGCAACAGTGACACACTAGGGGCAGCCAGGTATAGCACCAGTGACACACTAGGGGCAGCCAGGTATAGCACCAGTGACACACTAGGGGCAGCCAGGTATAGCACCAGTGACACACTAGGGGCAGCCAGGTATAGCAACAGTGACACACTAGGGGCAGCCAGGTATAGCAACAGTGACACACTAGGGGCAGCCAGGTATAGCAACAGTGACACACTAGGGGCAGCCAGGTATAGCAACAGGGACACACTAGGGGCAGCCAGGTATAGCAACAGTGACACACTAGGGGCAGCCAGGTATAGCACCAGTGACACACTAGGGGCAGCCAGGTATAGCACCAGTGACACACTAGGGGCAGCCAGGTATAGCAGCAGTGACACACTAGGGGCAGCCAGGTATAGCACCAGTGACACACTAGGGGCAGCCAGGTATAGCACCAGTGACACACTACGGGGCAGCCAGGTATAGCACCAGTGACACACTAGACACACTAGGGGCAGCCAGGTATAGCACCAGTGACACACTAGGGGCAGCCAGGTATAGCACCAGTGACACACTAGGGGCAGCCAGGTATAGCAACAGTGACACACTAGGGGCAGCCAGGTATAGCAACAGTGACACACTAGGGGCAGCCAGGTATAGCACCAGTGACACACTAGGGGCAGCCAGGTATAGCAACAGTGACACACTAGGGGCAGCCAGGTATAGCAGCAGTGACACACTAGGGGCAGCCAGGTATAGCACCAGTGACACACTAGGGGCAGCCAGCCAGTGTACTAGGGGCACCAGTGACACACTAGGGGGCAGCCAGGTATAGCACCAGTGACACACTAGGGGCAGCCAGGTATAGCACCAGTGACACACTAGGGGCAGCCAGGTATAGCACCAGTGACACACTAGACACACTAGGGGCAGCCAGGTATAGCACCAGTGACACACTAGGGGCAGCCAGGTATAGCAACAGTGACACACTAGGGGCAGCCAGGTATAGCACCAGTGACACACTAGGGGCAGCCAGGTATAGCACCAGTGACACACTAGGGGGCAGCCAGGTATAGCACCAGTGACACACTAGGGGCAGCCAGGTATAGCACCAGTGACACACTAGGGGCAGCCAGGTATAGCACCAGTGACACACTAGGGGGCAGCCAGGTATAGCACCAGTGACACACTAGGGGCAGCCAGGCATAGCAACAGTGACACACTAGGGGCAGCCAGGTATAGCAACAGTGACACACTAGGGGCAGCCAGGTATAGCAACAGTGACACACTAGGGGCAGCCAGGTATAGCACCAGTGACACACTAGGGGCAGCCAGGTATAGCACCAGTGACACACTAGGGGCAGCCAGGTATAGCAACAGTGACACACTAGGGGCAGCCAGGTATAGCAACAGTGACACACTAGGGGCAGCCAGGTATAGCACCAGTGACACACTAGGGGCAGCCAGGTATAGCACCAGTGACACACTAGGGGCAGCCAGGTATAGCAGCACCAGTGACACACTAGGGGCAGCCAGGTATAGCAACAGTGACACACTAGGGGCAGCCAGGTATAGCACCAGTATAGCACCAGTGACACACTAGGGGCAGCCAGGTATAGCAACAGTGACACACTAGGGGCAGCCAGGTATAGCAGCAGCAGGGACACACTAGGGGCAGCCAGGTATAGCAACAGTGACACACTAGGGGCAGCCAGGTATAGCAACAGTGACACACTAGGGGCAGCCAGGTATAGCACCAGTGACACACTAGGGGCAGCCAGGTATAGCACCAGTGACACACTAGGGGCAGCCAGGTATAGCACCAGTGACACACTAGGGGCAGCCAGGTATAGCAGCACCAGTGACACACTAGGGGCAGCCAGGTATAGCACCAGTGACACACTAGGGGCAGCCAGGTATAGCACCAGTGACACACTAGGGGCAGTCAGGTATAGCACCAGTGACACACTAGGGGCAGCCAGGTATAGCACCAGTGACACACTAGGGGCAGCCAGGTATAGCAACAGTGACACACTAGGGGCAGCCAGGTATAGCAACAGTGACACACTAGGGGCAGCCAGGTATAGCAACAGTGACACACTAGGGGCAGCCAGGTATAGCACCAGTGACACACTAGGGGCAGCCAGGTATAGCAACAGTGACACACTAGGGGCAGCCAGGTATAGCACCAGTGACACACTAGGGGCAGCCAGGTATAGCACCAGTGACACACTAGGGGCAGTCAGGTATAGCACCAGTGACACACTAGGGGCAGCCAGGTATAGCACCAGTGACACACTAGGGGCAGCCAGGTATAGCAACAGTGACACACTAGGGGCAGCCAGGTATAGCAACAGTGACACACTAGGGGCAGCCAGGTATAGCAACAGTGACACACTAGGGGCAGCCAGGTATAGCACCAGTGACACACTAGGGGCAGCCAGGTATAGCAACAGTGACACACTAGGGGCAGCCAGGTATAGCAGCAGTGACACACTAGGGGCAGCCAGGTATAGCAGCAGTGACACACTAGGGGGCAGTCAGGTATAGCACCAGTGACACACTAGGGGCAGCCAGGTATAGCACCAGTGACACACTAGGGGCAGCCAGGTATAGCACCAGTGACACACTAGGGGCAGCCAGGTATAGCAACAGGGACACACTAGGGGCAGCCAGGTATAGCAACAGGGACACACTAGGGGCAGTCAGGTATAGCAACAGTGACACACTAGGGGCAGTCAGGTATAGCACCAGTGACACACTAGGGGCAGCCAGGTATAGCACCAGTGACACACTAGGGGCAGCCAGGTATAGCACCAGTGACACACTAGGGGCAGCCAGGTATAGCACCAGTGACACACTAGGGGGCAGCCAGGTATAAATAATGATAAACTTGTGTTACAGATCATATAAGACTCGCCCGGGACGCTGGGTGCTGGTGTAGAGTTGCTGTCTGTGTGCGTGACGGGCTGTGTCTGACGTGTGCGTGTGTACGTGTTGACAGAACTGCACGAGCAGCACGTGGGCGTGTTGAGCTGGCACGTGCGGGAGCGGGAGGTGGACGTAACACGTGCCCAGGCCACGGGCACGGAGGAGCTGGCGGCCACGCACCTGCACCACCTGCGCCGCCTCTCTCTGGTGAGCCAGGCCGCCCTCAGGCACCACGCCCTCACCCAGAAGGAGGAGCTGGCCGCCTTCCACACCTCCATCACACACCTCACCACTCAGGTCAGTTGTCGCCTCACCACTCAGGTCAGTTGTCGCCTCACCACTCAGGTGAGATAGGGGGAACAGGTTAAGGGTTTGCTGTCCGGGAGCAAGAATAAGGGATATTGCTAACGACATGAATGATATTATGGCTGGAAATGGTGATTAATTGATTGATGAAGATTAAGCCACCCAAGAGGTGGCACGGGCATGAATAGCCCGTAAGTGGTGGCCCTTTTTAGCCATTACCAGTATCAAAAGATGATACTGGAGATCTGTGGAGGCGCAACTGCACCCTGCGTGACGGGAGATGTCTCCTGGACCAAATGGTGACCAAACGGGTGCTGGAAATGGGAACAAACCCATTATTTGTATCAGTGCTGGTGGAACTGGTGCTGGACGAGGTAGGAGTGAGGCGCTGATACAGAGGTTTAAGGCAGCCATAGACTTAGGAAGAAGAAAGGCAACCCGACCGTATGTGACAGTTTTCTAAGAAAGGCAGTTGGAAATGACTGGTTGTCGAGGCCACTTGGTGTGGGGAAAAATTGAAATGTAGTCTCAGAGACGGAATCAAAACTGAGCCACACACAGAAACTATTTGGCTAGAATTAAACGAAAAAAGTTAAAAATCTAATAATAGGAGTTATATACAGGCATCAAACTTAGAATGGAAGCAAAGCATCTATGGGATGAAATATCTAGAGCATCTAGGTCTAGCAGTATTTGTGTCATGGGTGACTTTAATTTTAGTGGAATAAACTGGGTGAACAAAACAGGGAATAATGAAGCAGAAGATTTTCTAGAATTAATTGACGATTGCTTTCTTACGCAACACATTAAGGAACCAACGCGGGAAAATAATATTTTAGATTTAGTGTTAACTAACAGGGAGACACAAATTAATGACATGGAAATAGGGAGTGAGCTAGGGAACAGTGATCACAAAGAAATCATATTTAGCATAGAATGGAAGAGATTTGTAGGAGAAAATTCTGTTAAAGTGCCAGATTTTCGAAAAGCTGATTTTAATATCCTAAGAAATTATTTGGGTCAAATAGATTGGAAAGTCTTGGGCATGGGGTGTGGGCCGGTCTTGGAGCTAGACGTGAACCCAACGATAGGTGACGTAAAGGGGAATTCGATGTGGATTCAAAATATAACTTATTTAAAAATATTCTAAGCAAAGAACACAGTATACCATACAAATTGAATACATCGAATACTAATGATCCAAAATGGATAACAAAGGATCTGATGAAACTTATAGGTAGAAAGAGAGCGTGGTACAAAAGGATTAAGAATGGGGAAGGCAGTTTAGAACAAGAATTCGCACAACTGGTTAGAAATGCTTAAAAAAAGAGATAAGGAGAGCAAAAAGAAACTATGAAGTTCATATAGCAGGCCAAGCAAAGACAAAATCCTGAAGTTTTTTCAGTTATATCGAACGAAGATTAGGGAAAGGATATGGGCACTGCTTTCCCCGGAAAGCGGTGGAATTTCTGGTGGCGAGAAAGACATTTGCACAGCGCTTTCCGCGGGCGCTGCGCATGCAGTGTGGATGGCTTATTTAAGGGAATGGGGGGGTGTGGGAGGGTCTGGCCCTCACTTACTCTGCTGCCACCGCCTGCTTGACAACGAAACGCCCGTCCTCCTCCCTTTCCTGGCCCCAGTCCACTTACTCTGTATTACGCCTTCGTACTCGTTACTCTCTCATTACTCCCCTAGTTGTGGGGTGCATCGCCGGATCCCCAAGTGTTTCACTGTTCGTAGCTAGTTCACTTTGTCAACAACACCCTTGTAGTAATTCAGGTTAGTTTTTTCCACAGACTGTACCTGCAATCTAGATACTAATAAGCTCCACCATTAAATCGGGAAATGTTATATATCTTTTCTCCTTGGCGGCTAGGCCTAATGGTCTGTGTTAATTTTCCTCCTATTATTTATCGGGCATTTCCCAGTCTCTATGTACCTTTCGCCCGTACTTGTTATTTACTGTATTAACTCATCTAGGTTATAGCACTATGTCTTATCTTGTTACTCACACTCTTTATTTACTGTATTAACTCATCTAGGTTATAGCACTATGTCTTATCTTGTTACTCACACTCTTTATTTACTGTATTAACTCCCCTAGGTTATAGCACTATGTCTTATCTTGTTACTCACACTCTTTATTTACTGTATTAACTCCCCTAGGTTATAGCACTATGTCTTATCTTGTTACTTGACTCTAAGCATACTTTTAGCGGTGCGCTGACCGAACTAGGTGTGGGTGTTGCAGTGGCCTCCAAGACACTAAGCTATGTCTGCAGAAGATTAGGGATAAGAATGTCTGGTGCTCAAGTTTCTGGAGTGAGGTTAAGTCAGGTCCCATGAGCTGCACGTTGTCCTACAGCACCAAGATAGGTGAAGGAAGTATAGGGGGGGGGAGGTAAAGAGCGACCACAGTACGTTGGCGGGAACTACTGTGATCAAGTCGTTAATATTGTATGTGTACCACACCAGGGAACACCAGTATCGTCACAGGTACTATTGTCTAAAAGAACACTGCTTTTTCTCCCCTAAAAAAGTGGTGGATTTTCTGAGGGGAAGGAAAACGTCTGTCTGGGAGCCGAGTCTAACCGCCCAAGCTGCGCGCGCAACGAGCCGAGGTTATATAAGCTCTGCCCGCAGACTGGGGAGCCAGTGTTCTCGACAAGCAAGCAGCTGCTCACTTACAAAATTGTTGTTGTTGTTGTTATAGATTCAGCTACTCGAAACAAGTTAAAAGTAGCACGGGCTATGGTGAGCCCGTAGTGGACTTACCTGGCACTGGAGCGGGGCAAGTAGCACAGGCTATGGTGAACCCGTAGTTGACTTACCTGGCACAGGAGCGGGGCAAGTAGCACAGGCTATGGTGAACCCGTAGTTGACTTACCTGGCACAGGAGCGGGACAAGTAGCACGGGCTATGGTGAGCCCGTAGCTTACCTGGCACAGGAGCGGGGCAAGTAGCACGGGCTATGGTGAGCCCGTAGTGGACTTACCTGGCACAGGAGCGGGGCAAGTAGCACAGGCTATGGTGAGCCCGTAGCTTACCTGGCACAGGAGCGGGGCAAGTAGCACGGGCTATGGTGAACCCGTAGTGGACTTACCTGGCACAGGAGCGGGACAAGTAGCACGGGTTATGGTGAGCCCGTAGCTTACCTGGCACAGGAGCGGGGCAAGTAGCACGGGCTATGGTGAGCCCGTAGTGGACTTACCTGGCACAGGAGCGCGGCTGTGTGTGTCTAAATTGTTTGTTGGTTCAATATTATACGGTTCTATGTCAAGACTTTCCATGTGTGTGTTGTCTCATTTCAGGAGCGTACAGTGACGCCAGAGAGGTCGGAGGTGGTCGCTTGTGATATCCTGTATTAATTAATGTATTATTAATTAATTATTGTAGTGATATCCTGTATTAATTAATCCTGTATTTAGTTAATTACTCTGTTTATTGATTAATTGTCCGTGTGATTGTTAATTACAAATGTGTTGTGATTTTTGGCCAGTGTTATAGAGTAGCATTGTTACACTGTGTTCTGCTTGTCTGCGCCACAAGGACTTGATGATATGAACTTTAATTGGTAATTAAGGATTCAGTGAGAAGTTACTTATGGGTAATTAACATCAACAAGTGAAGGGACATAGTTATGTTTGGCAAGTGAGTTACAGCGAGGATGTGTTAACGTAATTACTTATACATTAATTATCTGTTTGTTTTACAGTAATTAATGCAGTTACTCAGTGTTTAATTGACCAACCACTTGGGCTGGACGGTAGAGCGACGGTCTCGCTTCCTGCAGGGCTGCGTTCAATCCCCGACCGTCCAAGTGGTTGGGGCACCATTCCTTCCCCCCGTCCCATCCCAAATCCTTATCCTGACCCCTTCCCAGTGCTATATAGTTGTAATAGCTTGGCGCTTTCCCCTGATAATTTCCTCCCTCTGGCCACCTGCCATTGGCTACTTCCCTCTTCATCTTCGTCCCTTGGTAATGTTTGTTCTCACAGCTGAGACACAGTTCTCCCGCCTGTGTTGAGTAGCGGTGTTCTCCGTGTTCCAGTTGGAGGAGGAGGTGGCGGGGGCGCTGGTGGAGCGGGAGGCCACCCTGGAGGAGGCCTGGGCCAGGCTGGCCGTGTCCGTGAGGGACCACCGTCACCACACGGCCTCCCTCAGGGCCACCTGTCACCACCTCCAGCAGCGGGTCTCCACCAACCACGCCAACCTCACCCTCATCAACCACGCTATTAAAGACATCCAGGTGAGGCTCCGTGGTGCTGTCAGACCACACAGGTGAGGCTCCGTGGTGCTGTCAGACCACACAGGTGAGGCTCCGTGCTGCTGTCAGACCACACAGGTGAGGCTCCGTGGTGCTGTCAGACCACACAGGTGAGGCTCCGTGACGCTGCTAGACCACACAGGTGAGGCTCCGTGGTGCTGTCAGACCACACAGGTGAGGCTCCGTGGTGCTGTCAGACCACACAGGTGAGGCTCCGTGGTGCTGTCAGACCACACAGGTGAGGCTCTGTGGTGCTGTCAGACCACACAGGTGAGGCTCCGTGGTGCTGTCAGACCACACAGGTGAGGCTCCGTGGTGCTGCTAGACCACACAGGTGAGGCTCTGTGGTGCTGTCAGACCACACAGGTGAGGCTCCGTGACGCTGCTAGACCACACAGGTGAGGCTCTGTGGTGCTGTCAGACCACACAGGTGAGGCTCCGTGACGCTGCTAGACCACACAGGTGAGGCTCCGTGACGCTGCTAGACCACACAGGTGAGGCTCCGTGGTGCTGCTAGACCACACAGGTGAGGCTCCACAACACCAGTATTAGCGGCCTCTCAGATAAAGTCAGGTCTTGGATTCCAGCCAAACTCAACTTGTGTGCGACTAACACACTAACATACACCAGTGGGGGATTAATGGACTATTTCAAGGGTTTTAGGTTTTGAAATCTGTTTGATAGGGGCCTCGTAGCCTGGTGGATAGCGCGCAGGACTCGTAATTCTGTGGCGCGGGTTCGATTCCCGCACGAGGCAGAAACAAATGGGCAAAGTTTCTTTCACCCTGAATGCCCCTGTTACCTAGCAGTAAATAGGTACCTGGGTGTTAGTCAGCTGTCACGGGCTGCTTCCTGGGGGGTGGAGGCCTGGTCGAGGACCGGGCCGCGGGGACACTAAAGCCCCGAAATCATCTCAAGATAACCTCAAGAAGATATTAAACTTCATGAATATGTCTGTCTGTATTTAATCAACCGCTCTACATACATCTGTCTATATCTTAACATTCCTCTGATATTCTCTATATATTCACTGTACCTGTGTGTGCGTGGCTGAGCAGAGCGAAGTGGAGGAGGTGCGGAGGAGACTCCGGCAGGTGGAGAGGCCGTCAGACGCGGCACAAGAACTCAGGCAGCTGAAGAAGACGGTGATGGTGCTGCGAGCCACCCTCGCCTCCCACCGTGTCGCTCAACGGTCGCTCATCAAGGCCATCAACAGGAGGGGCTACGAGGCCAAGAAGGTAGGACACCCTCAGTCATCAACAGGAGGGGCTACGAGGCCAAGAAGGTAGGACACCCTCAGTCATCAACAGGAGGGGCTACGAGGCCAAGAAGGTAGGACACCCTCAGTCATCAACAGGAGGGGCTACGAGGCCAAGAAGGTAGGACACCCTCAGCCATCAACAGGAGGGGCTACGAGGCCAAGAAGGTAGGACACCCTCAATCATCAACAGGAGGGGCTACGAGGCCAAGAAGGTAGGACACCCTCAGCCATCAACAGGAGGGCTACGAGGCCAAGAAGGTAGGACACCCTCAGTCATCAACAGGAGGGCTACGAGGCCAAGAAGGTAGGACACCCTCAGTCATCAACAGGAGGGCTACGAGGCCAAGAAGGTAGGACACCCTCAGCCATCAACAGGAGGGCTACGAGGCCAAGAAGGTAGGACACCCTCAGTCATCAACAGGAGGGGCTACGAGGCCAAGAAGGTAGGACACCCTCAGCCATCAACAGGAGGGCTACGAGGCCAAGAATGTAGGACACCCTCAGTCATCAACAGGAGGGCTACGAGGCCAAGAAGGTAGGACACCCTCAGTCATCAACAGGAGGGGCTACGAGGCCAAGAAGGTAGGACACCCTCAGCCATCAACAGGAGGGCTACGAGGCCAAGAAGGTAGGACACCCTCAGCCATCAACAGGAGGGGCTACGAGGCCAAGAAGGTAGGACACCCTCAGTCATCAACAGGAGGGCTACGAGGCCAAGAAGGTAGGACACCCTCAGTCATCAACAGGAGGGCTACGAGGCCAAGAAGGTAGGACACCCTCAGCCATCAACAGGAGGGCTACGAGGCCAAGAAGGTAGGACACCCTCAGTCATCAACAGGAGGGCTACGAGGCCAAGAAGGTAGGACACCCTCAGCCATCAACAGGAGGGCTACGAGGCCAAGAAGGTAGGACACCCTCAGTCATCAACAGGAGGGCTACGAGGCTAAGAACTCGAGAATTCAAAGACTCAGGCAGAGTGTGAAAAGAGACAAAAAAAGTAGTTTTTGTATTTGTGTGTGTTTTGTTATTCTACATTTTCCTTAATATTCAAAATAACTTCATCATTATAATAATGTATGAAATGTAAAATGACAGTGTAGCACTGTCTTAAATCCCTCCACCAAGAGCGACCATCCCTCCACCAAGAGCGTCGTCGACCACCATTACTGGTGGTGGACGACGCTGACACTGACCTCTCGTGGCAGGAGCTGGAGCAGGTGGTGAAGGAGGGGCGGGCGGTGCTGGACCTGGCCGCCACCTGCGGCCGCCTGGAGACCGCTAGGGACCGCAACCTTCCCTTCTTACCGCCGCCGCCTGCCCCCTCTCTCGCCGCAGACGGCCGCCTGCGGACCCGCCTCACTCTTCCCGCCCAGCCGCTCCACCACACCCATCTCGGCCGCACCCTTCCGCAGGTAGGCTGCGGCCCACATTCACTTAAGTTCTAGATATTAATGTTTTTCTTGCCCGAAACGCATTGCGTAATAGTGGCTTTAGGCATTGTATGTACTAGCTCTATCTATATATCAATCCATTAATGTAACATCACTTGTATGTATGTACCTTACCTGAATAAACATCTGAATCTGAATCTGACTTGCCATTGTGATCACGTTCAGGTCGCCCTATTCTCATCTTGGCTGTGAGAATAGGGCCACTTGTAAACTAACAAAGGTTAACTTAGCCAAACCTAATCTAACATTATCTAGAGTTCTAGATTACCGTAACAGTTAACTTGTCCAGATAATCGTGGTTAAATTTCAGGTGTAAGTCCTTTATAGATTAGCTGTACTGGAAATAATTTGTGCTGTACCTATTACAGAGGTTATCAAGCATATTGACGTGTCTCCATCTTGTGTGTGGAGCATATACTAAGATAAGATAAGATATGTGTTCAGGTAAAGGTACATACATTCAAAATGAGTCACATTGTGTGGGATTAATAGATAGAGCTGGTACAGTACAGTACAGTACAGTGCAGTACAGTACAGTACAGTACAGTACAGTACAGTGCAGTGCAGTGCAGTACAGTACAGTACAGTACAGTACAGTACAGTACAGTGCAGTGCAGTACAGTGCAGTACAGTACAGTACAGTACAGTACAGTGCAGTACAGTACAGTACAGTACAGTACAGTACAGTGCAGTGCAGTACAGTACAGTACAGTGCACTACAGTACAGTGCAGTACAGTACAGTACAGTACAGTACAGTACAGTACAGTACAGTGCACTACAGTACAGTGCAGTACAGTACAGTACAGTACAATACAGTACAGTACAGTACAGTACAGTACAGTGCAGTGCAGTACAGTACAGTACAGTACAGTGCAGTACAGTACAGTACAGTACAGTACAGTACAGTGCAGTGCAGTACAGTACAGTACAGTACAGTACAGTACAGTACAGTGCAGTACAGTACAGTACAGTACAGTACAGTACAGTACAGTACAGTGCACTACAGTACAGTGCACTACAGTACAGTGCAGTACAGTACAGTACAGTACAGTACAGTACAGTACAGTACAGTGCAGTGCAGTACAGTACAGTACAGAACAGTACAGTACAGTACAGTACAGTGCAGTACAGTACAGTACAGTACAGTACAGTACAGTACAGTGCAGTGCAGTACAGTACAGTACAGTGCAGTACAGTACAGTACAGTACAGTACAGTGCAGTACAGTACAGTACAGTACAGTACAGTGCAGTACAGTACAGTACAGTACAGTACAGTACAGTGCAGTACAGTACAGTACAGTGCAGTACAGTACAGTACAGTACAGTACAGTGCAGTACAGTACAGTACAGTACAGTGCAGTACAGTACAGTACAGTACAGTACAGTACAGTACAGTGCAGTACAGTACAGTACAGTACAGTGCAGTACAGTACAGTACAGTACAGTACAGTGCAGTACAGTACAGTGCAGTACAGTGCAGTACAGTACAGTACAGTACAGTACAGTGCAGTACAGTACAGTACAGTACAGTACAGTACAGTACAGTGCAGTACAGTACAGTACAGTACAGTGCAGTACAGTACAGTACAGTGCAGTACAGTACAGTACAGTACAGTACAGTGCAGTACAGTACAGTACAGTGCAGTACAGTACAGTACAGTACAGTACAGTACAGTACAGTACAGTGCAGTACAGTACAGTACAGTGCAGTACAGTACAGTACAGTACAGTACAGTACAGTACAGTGCAGTAGAGTACAGTACAGTACAGTGCAGTATAGTACAGTACAGTACAGTACAGTACAGTGCAGTACAGTGCAGTACAGTACAGTGCAGTGCAGTACAGTACAGTGCAGTACAGTGCAGTACAGTACAGTGCAGTGCAGTACAGTACAGTACAGTACAGTGCAGTACAGTACAGTGCAGTACAGTACAGTACAGTACAGTACAGTACTGTACAGTACAGTACAGTACTGTACAGTACAGTACAGTACAGTACTGTACAGTACAGTACAGAACAGTACAGTACAGTACAGTGCAGTACAGTGCAGTACTGTACAGTACTGTACAGTACAGTACTGTACAGTACAGTACAGTACAGTACAGTACAGTACAGTACAGTGCAGTACAGTGCAGTACAGTACAGTACTGTACAGTACAGTACAGTACAGTACAGTACAGTACAGTGCAGTGCAGTGCAGTACAGTACAGTACAGTGCAGTACAGTACAGTACAGTACAGTACAGTGCAGTGCAGTGCAGTACAGTACAGTACAGTGCAGTACAGTGCAGTACAGTACAGTACAGTACAGTACAGTACAGTGCAGTACAGTGCAGTACAGTGCAGTGCAGTGCAGTACAGTACAGTACAGTGCAGTGCAGTACAGTACAGTACAGTGCAGTACAGTACAGTACAGTACAGTGCAGTACAGTACAGTACAGTACAGTACAGTACAGTGCAGTACAGTACAGTGCAGTACAGTACAGTGCAGTACAGTACAGTGCAGTACAGTACAGTGCAGTACAGTACAGTGCAGTACAGTACAGTACAGTGCAGTACAGTACAGTACAGTGCAGTACAGTACAGTTCACACAGTGCCTGAAGCCACTAATACACACAGAGTTTCGGGCAAGTTGTGGGAAGAAAAACTTGACTAAAACTTGATACTAATTGAGATCGAAAGCATAAATTGAAATTAAAAAAGGAAAACAGGAAAAAGAGATTAATAATAATTACATGATGGATAGAACAACAGAAAATGCAACAGAACAACAGAAGGAATTTTAACTAAATAAATAGAAGATTAAAGGGAGGCCGGTCGGCCGAGCGGACAGCACGCGGGACTTGTGATCCTGTGGTCCCGGGTTCAATCCCAGGTGCCGGCGAGAAACAATGGGCAGAGTTTCTTTCACCCTACGCCCCTGTTACCTAGCAGTAAAATAGGTACCTGGGTGTTAGTACACCCAGTCAGCTGTTAGTCAGCTGTCATGGGCTGCTTCCTAGGGGTGGAGGCCTGGTCGAGGACCGGGCCGCGGGGACACTAAAGCCCCGAAATCATCTCAAGATAACCGCAAGATTACAATTTTCTTTAAGTTTATCCATGGCGGGAATCAGCAGTTATAGAACTTGGTCAACACATTGTATGTTTGAGAACAGCAAGACATGGGTTGACATTTAGGGGGTAAGGTAGGTTACACGGAGTTAATTAGGTAGTGCTTAGTTCTACTCTTAAACTGGTTGAGAGAAGTACAGCCTTTGACATGACTGGGCAGGTCATTCCACATTCTGGGTCCCTTGATTTGTAGAGCATTTCTAGTTTGGTTAAGTCGCACTCTTGGAATATCAAATAGGTATGTGTTTCTGGTGTGGTGCTCATGGGTTCTGTTACAACCTTCTAGGAAGCTTTTAAGGTCAGGATTGATATTACAATTCAGAGTTTTAAATATATAGAGTACACAAGAGAGGATGTGCAGTGACTTAATGTCTAACATATTCAGAGATTTGAGTAGGGGTATCGAGTGATGTCTGGGGCCAGAGTTGGATATTGTCCTAATAGCAGCTTTGTGTTGAGTAATTAGAGGACGTAAATGATTTTAGGTAGTAGAACCCCAAGCACAAATACCATAATTGAGATAAGGATCTTCAGGTTATCTTGAGATGATTTCGGGGCTAAGCGTCCCCGCGGCCCGGTCCTCGACCAGACCTCCTTTTTGTTACACACCCCCAGGAAGCAGCCCGTAGCAGCTGTCTAACACCCAAGTACCTATTTACTGCTAGGTGAACAAGAGCATCAGAGTGAAAGAAACTCTGCCCCATTTGTGTCCACCTCAAGATCAAAAACCACATCTAGTATCGGGCCCCTGCGAAAGGGAGATGGAACTTTCACCGATGACAACAAAGAAATGAGCGAGTTACTGAGGAAGCAGTACGACTCTGTTTTCAGTGAGCCATTAAACACACTAAAGATTGATAACCCAAATTAATTTTTCATGGATATGATACCAACATCAAATCACATATCAGACGTCACCCTATCCCCACTGGATTTTGAAGAAGCCATAAACAGTATGCCTATGCACTCTGCACCAGGCCCGGATTCTTGGAACTCCATATTCATCAAGAACTGTAAAAAAAACACTATCGCAGGCCCTCCACAATCTGTGGAGACAAAGCCTAGATACTGGCGTTATTCCTGATATACTAAAAACAGCAGAGATAGCACCACTTCATAAAGGAGGAAATAAGGCAGAGGCAAAAAATTACAGACCGATAGCACTAACATCGCACATTATAAAAAATTTTGAGAGTGCTAAGAAGTAAGATCACAAAATACATGGAATCACAGCATCTCCATAACCCCGGACAACATGGTTTCAGAACAGGGCGCTCTTGCCTGTCGCAGTTGCTGGACCACTATGATATGGCATTAGATGCTATGGAAGACAAACAAAACGCTGATGTAATTTACACAGATTTCGCAAAAGCTTTTGATAAATGTGACCATGGCGTTATTGCACATAAAATGCGTTCAAAAGGAATTACCGGAAAAATAGGCAGATGGATCTACAATTTCCTGACCAACAGAACCCAATGTGTAATAGTCAACAAAATAAAATCCAGCCCATCAACCGTGAAGAGCTCAGTTCCCCAGGGTACTGTGCTTGCTCCAGTACTTTTTCTCATCCTCATATCGGACATAGACAAGAACACAACCTATAGCACTGTATCATCCTTTGCAGATGACACTAGGATCTTCATGAGAGTAGGCAACATAGAGGACACGGCAAACCTCCAGTCAGATGTAGATCAGGTCTTTCTATGGGCGACAGAAAATAATATGGAGTTTAACGAAGATAAGTTCCAGCTCATGCGCTATGGAAAAAATGAAAATATAAAAACGGAAACCACGTACAAAACTCAGGCAAATCATATCATAGAACATAAAGGCAATGCAAAGGATCTGGGTGTACTCATGTCGGAAGACCTTACCTTTAAAGAACACAATAAAGTAGCCGTCACAACTGCTATACCGATGATGACACTTTTCAAAACGCTTGTGCTCTCTAGAGTGGAGTACTGCAGCACAATGACAGCCCCTTTCAAAGCTGGAGAAATTGCTGACCTGGAGAGCGTGCAGAGATCCTTTACTGCTAGAATCCATTCAGTAAAACACCTAAACTATTGGGACCGACTAAAGAGCCTAAATCTGTACTCCCTTGAGCGCAGGCGGGAGAGATACATAATAATTTACACGTGGAAAATATTAGAGGGGCTGGTCCCAAACCTGCACACAGAAATAACATCACATGAGACCAGAAGACATGGCAGGATGTGCAGAATACCCCCATTGAAAAGCAGAGGTGCAACAGGTACTCTGAGAGAGAACTCTATCAACATCAGAGGCCCGAGACTGTTCAACACGCTTCCACTACACATAAGGGGCATAACTGGCAATCCCCTCACAGTGTTCAAGAGAGAACTGGATAAGCACCTCCAAAGGATACCTGATCAACCAGGCTGTGACTCATACGTCAGGCTGCGAGCAGCCGCGTCCAACAGCCTGGTTGATCAGTCCAGCAACCAGGAGGCCTGGTCGACGACCGGGCCGCGGGGACGCTAAGCCCCGGAAGCACCTCAAGGTAACCTCAAGGTAACCTCCACTAGGGATCGAACCCAGAACCTTAGGAACCAAATCCCGAGCGCTGTCCACTCAGCTGTCAGACCCCTACAGGTTAGGATAGATAAGAGAGTAATAGAGCATCACCAGGGCAGGGCGAGATACATAATATCTTATTTATTTATTTATTTATTTATTTATTTATTTATTTATTTATTTATTTATTTATTTATTTATATACAAGAAGGTACATTGGGTTTGTGAGAATACATAGCATAGTATTTACAATCTTGTAAAGCCACTAGTACGCGCAGCGGTTCGGGCAGGTCCTTAATCTAAAGGATAATTTTAAGTAGGTAAATTATATCAGAATTAATAAAATGATAACAGATACATTGCAAGAAAAAAAATGAGATGAGAGAGATTAGTAAGTATATTAAAGCACATTGGTATATTAAAGGTATGATTGATTACATTGACAGCTTGATTGGTACAGGTAATTTAAACAAGATTAATAGACACCATACAGCAGATTGACAGTACATATAAGAAGACAGCAATGATCACAATGGTAAAGATGTTCAGATTGGGTACATAAAGATTGGGAGATTGGGTAGCAATAGATACAGTGCAGTAGATACATACAGTGATTGGGTAGCAATAGATATCTGATCTTAGAAAGAATGCCAACAGTTTTAGAAACTGTTTTTCTATATTTTTTTTTTTTTTTGAGATATATACAAGAGTTGTTACATTCTTGTAGAGCCACTAGTACGCGTAGCGTTTCGGGCAAGTCCTTAATCCTATGGTCCCTGGAATACGATCCCCTGCCGCGAAGAATCGTTTTTTCATCCAAGTACACATTTTACTGTTGCGTTAAACAGAGGCTACAGTTAAGGATTTGCGCCCAGTAAATCCTCCCCGGCCAGGATACGAACCCATGACATAGCGCTCGCGGAACGCCAGGCGAGTGTCTTACCACTACACCACGGAGACTGCATAAGCATAAGCAGATATTTAGAATGTGTCCCCTGAAATTCAGCTTGTGGTCGATGGGAACACCAAGGAATTTACCATTTACTTTGTTACTAATTTGGATATTATTTATTCTTAGATTAATTTAATCTGAGGATTTATTACCAAACAAAATATAGAAAGTTTTGTCAATGTTAAGGGCGAGTTTGTTGGCAGTTAGCCACAAATGGACTTTATTTAGTTCAGTATTCACTGTGACATTTAGAGCAAGGGGGTCAGGACTGGAGAAAATGAAGGTTGTGTCGTCAGCAAATATGATTGGTTTGAGGTGTTTAGAGGCACGTGGAAGGTCATTAATGTAGATGAGAAAGAGGAGAGGGCCAAGTATGCTGCCCTGTGTTGATTAGTAGTGTAGGGGGAATTGGAATTATTCACAGAAACATACTGGAGCCTGTCAGTAAGGTAAGATTTGAGGTATTGCAGGGAGTGTCCTCTGACTCCATAATGATGTAATTTAAGAAGAAGGTTTTGGTGGTTGACAGTGTCAAAAGCCTTACGCAGGTCCACAAATAACCCAACAGGGAACTCATTTTTATCAAGAGCTGAATGTATCAAGTTAATCATACTAATAAGTGCATCGTTAGTGCTTTTTTTGGGTCTGAAGCCATATTGACAAGAGCTAAGTATATTGTGTTTGGCTAGATAACAGTAAAGCTGCTTGTAGATTAGCTTTTCAAATATTTTTGACAAGTTTGGCAGAAGTGATATAGGTCTGTAGTTGTTGACATCAGTGAGATCACCATATTTATGGATTTTCTGGTGAACTACGCTCACCATTACAGTAAATCTGGTCAGGTCATGTTAAATCGGTTTAGTTAGATCATCGTGATAATCACATCTTAAGTCGCGTCCATCCACTTAGACGGGTGGGAAGGCGACGGCTTTGCTTCTTACAGATCTGGCGTTCGATCCCCGATGGCCCACGTAGCTGGGCACTTTCCTTACCTTGTCTGCTATCCTTGCTTGTAATATGTCATAAAATACCTTCCAAATACTGGTCAAACTGTCTTAACGCTTTCTTCCAATATTTGCTTGAGGAGGTGGAGCCTGAGGCGGGGCTGTGGGAGGACGCCGAGGAGGGGCTCGGCACCTCCCTCCCATCAGCGAAGGAGCCTCCACTACTGGCCACGGTGAGTGTCTGAACGTTCCTGTGGGGGCGGAGAGCAGGGTGGGTGCAGGTTCCTGTGGGGGCGGAGAGCAGGGTGGGTGCAGGTTCCTGTGGGGGCGGAGAGCAGGGTGGGTGCAGGTTCCTGTGGGGGTGGAGAGCAGGGTGGGTGTTATAAGTGTTGTCTGCTATGGGGGATCTAGTATTATTATGGAGTAGGGTCAGCAGTTAGAATTAAGATGTATCACAAGTAATGGAGATCATATAGGCCCGGCCCCCAATAAAACTATAAAGCAGTAATATCTATAGTGACTTCCAGAAAAGGTCAGCCTAGAGGTAGATCATTGATCTCCTACACAGGAAGAATGGATACTCCTTTAAAACTAACTTATTTATTAAACCCCCTTAATAACCCCCAATGGCCTCGTAGCCTGGTGGATAGCACGTAGGACTCGTAATTCTGTGGCGCGGGTTCGATTCCCGCACGAGGCAGAAACAATTGGGCAAAGTTTCTGTCACCCTGAATGCCCCTGTTACCTAGCAGTAAATAGGTACCTGGGAATTAGTCAGCTGTCACGGGCTGCTTCCTGGGGGTGGAGGCCTGGTCGAGGACCGGGCCGCGGGGACACTAAAGCCCAAAAATCATCTCAAGATAATCTCAAGATACATTCACTACAATAACAACAATTACTTTACCACACTATCTTACGTTAACTACCTTGGTCCACATAGACAGGATACAAGGTTTACACTTGGGACAAGCTAGGGTAAAGTTTACTAGACAAGGGACACTAGCAAGGACTCTAGGTAGCTTACTGGTACCACTTCAGCCCACGTGGTCCCACTGGGACCCCTCAGAGTAACTTAGCAATATAAACACTAGTAATACCCTAACACATTTCTACACACTTATGCCAGAAAACGAGAATACAGCACGTTACTTAGCTTGGTAAACTAGACACAGGATAAGGTAAGGGAGAGAAGTAGGAGGAAGGGGAGAGGGATGCAGGGCAACACAGTAGAGATGTTGACACCACGACGCCAGCCAGAGAAGACCGCTTCAGCCTCCAGTCCCAGAGCTCCCGGGCTGACTCGCTGCCGGCCGACTACTCAGCTAATCGTACAGCAGCCCTATATACAAGTTTACTCAGATCTACTTTACTCTGATCTACTACTTAGATCTACTTTAATACTTTCTAATCATTTGTAAACATAGTTGATGCCTATTTTATTAATTAATAATCAACCACAAGCTCAGTCTTTAAATGCTCTGTGAGAAACAAGATTCGTCTTACGTGTGGCAAGGCAGATACGAACAGAGACACGTCGACAAGCGCCTCAAATTAATATAAAGTCATTTATTTTGCTCAATTTGACCTCTGGTTTCCACTGATAAACCCAGGGTCGTAACAGTGGGTGCAGCCATAACGTGTGGTAAATAATCCTCTTGTATTAAAGTTGCAAAAAGCAAGGATATATTATATTTCATCAACAGACAACTCCGAGGGGGTCTCGGAGCCTAGTGGAGACAGACGAGGGTGTAGGGTCTAGTGTGGGGCACTCCGCTGCCGCCTCCAGCACCATGGCCTCTGGCACCATGGCCCTCAGCACTATGGCCTCTGGCACAGTGCCACTGCCCAGCCTCCATACACCATACCCGAAAGGTGAGTGTTAGGATTAAGGTTCTTTTTGTTGTTTTAGATTTAGCTACTCAGAAGGAAATGTCCATGTAGCACGGGCTATGGTGAGCCCGTAATTGAGTTCGGTTATTTGCGATAACCTTGTTACTCTGATATTTGGGTCAAAGGTTTAAATGGAGGTGGGGATTCCTCGTTTTTCCCTGTTTCTTTTTTCGCTTCTGTTTTAGTGCACTGGTTTTAGTCTTGTTTTAATAATATTATCTTTGTGGCGGATGTAGATGCAGAATGCTCACTAATGAGTCCGATTCCTCAACGGCTTTTCTAATCATTGTAGTGGCCGTGGAATGTGCATGTAATGCAGCTGCTGTCGTTGGATTAATGTTGAGTTTGATGCACAGGGCTTCAGTAGCTTCACATTCCAGTAAGTAGTGCAATAGTGGCGCCTCTGCTTCTGTTCCACAGATATGACACTCTTTAACTATTGGGTTCATTACCTCCCAGCAGCACTTGTAACCAAGTCTGAGTCTGTGTATGGCTACTGCAATGTCTCTGGATATCTTTTTGTCAGGCATGAAAGAGGAGTACCCAGTGGCTTGTTCGTACAATATCGCAGTGGATCTTCCTTCCGCTACTTTGGCTCTGTGGCGACTTTTGATAGTTGAGAATATTTTCTTCTTGATTTGCTCCTTAATCTGTGAAAAACTTGGAGGTATTTGAACCTGTACAACAGGTAGAGCAGTGGCAGTTTTTGCTAGTGAGTCTGCCTCTTCATTACCATCTATGCCAATGTGACTTGGTATCCAATTTAGGGTGATTGACAGCCCTAGATTATGGGCTACGATTAAGGTATTTTGTAGGATTAAGTACTACATAGGTTAGGTGTATCATGTTTTGAGGAGATGCTCTTTTGTTCATAAGCATTGTCAATAGTAAATCATGTAACATATACCGGTGACGTCATTGATTGTTGTTGTTGGACTCAAGCCATGTGGAGCAGACGTGGGGTTATCTTCCTGGCCAAACATTACAGTGGTGACGCCATCTGCTGCATGTCACAGTAACACAGACGTGCCCGGCATTGTCCCGGTGGCGGACACCACACACACACACACACTACCTTCACCACTGTGGCCGTCTCTCCTCCACCACCTGCCCCACCACTGTGGCCGTCTCTCCTCCACCACCTGCCCCACCACTGTGGCCGTCTCTCCTCCACCACCTGCCCCACCACTGTGGCCGTCTCTCCTCCACCACCTGCCCCACCACTGTGGCCGTCTCTCCTCCACCACCTGCCCCACCACTGTGGCCATCTCTCCTCCACCACCTGCCCCACCACTGTGGCCATCTCTCCTCCACCACCTGCCCCACCACTGTGGCCATCTCTCCTCCACCACCTGCCCCACCACTGTGGCCATCTCTCCTCCACCACCTGCCCCACCACTGTGGCCATCTCTCCTCCACCACCTGCCCCACCACTGTGGCCGTCTCTCCTCCACCACCTGCCCCACCACTGTGGCCGTCTCTCCTCCACCACCTGCCCCACCACTGTGGCCGTCTCTCCTCCACCACCTGCCCCACCACTGTGGCCGTCTCTCCTCCACCACCTGCCCCACCACTGTGGCCATCTCTCCTCCACCACCTGCCCCACCACTGTGGCCGTCTCTCCTCCACCACCTGCCCCACCATTGGCCGTCTCTCCTCCACCACCTGCCCCACCACTGTGGCCGTCTCTCCTCCACCACTGTGGCCGTCTCTCCTCCACCACCTGCCCCACCACTGTGGCCGTCTCTCCTCCACCACCTGCCCCACCACTGTGGCCGTCTCTCCTCCACCACCTGCCCCACCACTGTGGCCGTCTCTCCTCCACCACCTGCCCCACCACTGTGGCCGTCTCTCCTCCACCACCTGCCCCACCACTGTGGCCATCTCTCCTCCACCACCTGCCCCACCACTGTGGCCATCTCTCCTCCACCACCTGCCCCACCACTGTGGCCGTCTCTCCTCCACCACCTGCCCCACCACCTGGCCACTACTCCCTCCACCACCACCACTATGTGGCACTGTTCGTGTGCAACAGTCTACGTGTCGTAATAAATATAGGTGGCGATGACAAGGTTGTAATGCTTGTGTGTGTGTGTGTGTGCAGGTGTGGCCGGGGTGCGGGCCGGGGGGCGGGCCACCCTTGGCCAGGACAAGATGGCCAGGATCAGCGAGCTACTGTGCCACGAGGAGGCTGCCAGCGAGGCCGCCCACGCCCACCCAACCCTCCACCCTCTCCCGGACTTCGTTCTCCAAGAGGTAGGCGGCGCCGCTGGACCCCACACAACAACACACATGAACTAGTAAACAAACCCTCCACACTGCTATACTTAGCGCTCCTGCACTTATATATGGCAATATGTATCTCTATCTTCGAGGCAAATAGTGGACCATTGACAAGCCGCTAGCTTCCTGTCCAGGTCGAGGCCGCTAAAGTGGCCCTCGGGTAAATATGTATATCTGTGAGTACATACACACAGACAAGCTAATTCAGATCGTTATAACATATAATGCTGTGTTGACGGGGTCCTCCTTGCTCTGGACAGGAAGCTTGGCAGAATTGTCTCTCTACTACTAAGTGAACAGACGCATCAGGTGAAAGTAAAAGTGCCCAACCGTCTCTCCCGGCCGGGGATCGAACCCAGTCTCCAACCTGGGCACCGAGGTGGTGGGCCAGCCCCTGCTTCCTGGCTCTTGATGGTGGGTGCTGGTGGAGGCGCCGTAGTGTAGTGACCACCACACACTGAGGGTCAGTGTGTAGTGACCACCACACACTGAGGGTCAGTGTGTAGTGGTCACCACACACTGAGGGTCAGTGTGTAGTGACCACCACACACTGAGGGTCAGTGTGTAGTGACCACGACACACTGAGGGTCAGTGTGTAGTGACCACCACACACTGAGGGTCAGTGTGTAGTGGTCACCACACACTGAGGGTCAGTGTGTAGTGACCACCACACACTGAGGGTCAGTGTGTAGTGACCACCACACACTGAGGGTCAGTGTGTAGTGACCACCACACACTGAGGGTCAGTGTGTAGTGACCACCACACACTGAGGGTCAGTGTGTAGTGACCCTCAATTATCAGACGTAGTAGCCTCTCCTCGTCTACTGATGAAGGCGTCAGCGGCCGAACACGGTAGAGCTCCTGACCCACCTCACTGTGGTGTCCTGCACGTGTGTGAGCAGTCTTGTGTGATGGTCACCTATACATATGAGGCGGACGCCAGCGGGAGGCGTCAAGGGGTAGCGGGCAGCCCGCCTCGTGCCTAACCCGAGCCAAGCGCCCCCAACACCAACACGTCTGGGTCCAGTAGCACAGTGGTCTACGTCCTCGACACTCAAGCCAGGGGTTCCGGGTTCAATCCCCTGGCAGGACAGAAACGTTTGCGTACGTTTCATTTAATCTGCCTCTGTTCACAATCAGTAAATAGGTACCGGGGAGCTAGGCAGCTATTGTGGGTGGCATCCCAGGACACATCAGTCACTAGATCTATGAATTCTCAGTAAATTTAAGTAAGGACTTGGTGTCCCCGCCCGCGGGAATGATGTGGGATGGCATGATGACAGGTGGAGTAGGTAGAGAAGCTCTCACTCTCTCACCTCTACTAAATAATTCGCACTACTGCTTCAGACAACTTGCTCGGGCTAGTTCAACAGTACCATCTACATACACACCAACCTCTCCTCCTGTTGTACCTAGTAGCCAGAACACACTACTCGGCCTACTATGCAACACACGATTTGCCTAATAAGCCAAGTTTTCTTGAATTAAAAAAAATAAAAAATTTTTATGAGATGATAAATCTATCCATTTCATTATGTTTGACTTATTTTTTTTAATTTTGAGTTAAAAATTAAGGTAGATATATGACCGCACCTAATATGTACCCTACCTAACCTAACCTAACCTAACCTAACCTAACCTAACTTAACCTATATTAACCTAACCTAAAACATATTAACCTAACCTAAGCTTACACAATTAAGTCAACAATTTATGTTATAAATATATTAAAAAATATTTCAAATAAACCAATAGGAAACAATTTCTTTAAAATAACAAAAATCACTCGGCCTATTCGGCAAATCGGGCCTTGCATAGTAGGCCGAGAAGCTCGCTTCAATAGCCTCTGCCCCCGGACAAGTGCACAACACTCCACTACCACACTATACAAGACTATGTCAACACTATACAAGACTATGTCAACACTATACAAGACTATGTCAACACTATACAAGACTATGTCAACACTATACAAGACTATGTCAACACTAAACAAGACTATGTCAACACTATACAAGACTATGTAAACACTATACAAGACTATGTCAACTCCCAGCGGCTCCCCTGCACCTGTATTAACACCTTTACAGTTGTCATACATATAACATGTTGGTTAATAGCATTGTGTTGGATCAGGCCGACGAGGTGCTCAAGACCCAGGACGACCTGCGCAACTTCTGGCGCAAGTACCACCATGTGCAGCTGGAGCGCCTGGCCCTGCGCAGCGAGGCGCTCCTCCTGCAGGAGGAGGGAAGACACCTGCGGGCGCTCCTGCGTCAGTACTTTGTCTCCCTGGGAGTGACGGACGCTGCTCTCTCCCAGACCCCGGCCCCCGTCACTGTCTCACACCTCTGTCTCAGCCACCCCAACCGTCTCCCCAGGTCAGTAGTGCCAGCCCCAGGCACCCCCACCCTCCCCCAGGTCAGTAGTGCCAGCCCCAGGCACCCCCACCCTCCCCCAGGTCAGTAGTGCCAGCCCCAGGCACCCGCACCCTCCCCCAGGTCAGTAGTGCCAGCCACAGGCACCCCCACCCTCCCCCAGGTCAGTAGTGCCAGCCCCAGGCACCCCCACCCTCCCCCAGGTCAGTAGTGCCAGCCACAGGCACCCCCACCCTCCCCCAGGTCAGTAGTGCCAGCCCCAGGCACCCCCACCCTCCCCCAGGTCAGTAGTGCCAGCCCCAGGCACCCCCACCCTCCCCCAAGTCAGTAGTGCCAGCCCCAGGCACCCCCACCCTCCCCCAGGTCAGTAGTGCCAGCCCCAGGCACCCCCCCCCTCCCCCAGGTCAGTAGTGCCAGCCCCAGGCACCCCCACCCTCCCCCAGGTCAGTAGTGCCAGCCCCAGACACCCTCCCCAGGTCAGTAGTGCCAGCCCCAGACACCCCTACCCTCCCCCAGGTCAGTAGTGCCAGCCCCAGACACCCTCCCCCTCCCCCAGGTCAGTAGTGCCAGCCCCAGGCACCCCCACCCTCCCCCAGGTCAGTAGTGCCAGCCCCAGGCACCCCCACCCTCCCCCAGGTCAGTAGTGCCAGCCCCAGGCACCCCCACCCTCCCCCAGGTCAGTAGCGCCAGCCCCAGACACCCTCCCCCTCCCCCAGGTCAGTAGTGCCAGCCCCAGACACCCTCCTCCAGGTCAGTAGTGCCAGCCCCAGACACCCCCACCCTCCTCCAGGTCAGTAGTGCCAGCCCCAGACACCCCCACCCTCCCCCAGGTCAGTAGTGCCAGCCCAAGACACCCCCACCCTCCCCCAGGTCAGTAGTGCCAGCCCAAGACACCCCCACCCTCCCCCAGGTCAGTAGTGCCAGCCCCAGACACCCCCACCCTCCCCCAGGTCAGTAGTGCCAGCCCAAGACACCCCCACCCTCCCCCAGGTCAGTAGTGCCAGCCCCAGACACCCCCACCCTCCCCCAGGTCAGTAGTGCCAGCCCCAGGCACCCTCCCCCAGGCCAGTAGTGCCAGCCCCAGACACCCCCACCCTCCCCCAGGTCAGTAGTGCCAGCCCCAGGCACCCTCCCCCAGGTCAGTAGTGCCAGCCCCAGACACCCCCACCCTTCCCCAGGTCAGTAGTGCCAGCCCCAGACACCCCCACCCTCCCCCAGGGTCAGTAGTGCCAGCCCCAGACACCCTCACCCTCCCCCAGGTCAGTAGTGCCAGCCCCAGGCACCCTCCCCCAGGCCAGTAGTGCCAGCCCCAGACACCCTCCTCCAGGTCAGTAGTGCCAGCCTCAGACACCCCCACCCTCCCCCAGGTCAGTATAGTGCCAGCCCCAGGCACCCCCCCCTCCCCCAGGCCAGTAGTGCCAGCCCCAGACACCCCCACCCTCCCCCAGGTCAGTAGTGCCAGCCCCTGACACCCCCACGCTCCCCCAGGTCAGTAGTGCCAGCCCCAGGCACCCCCACCCTCCCCCAGGCCAGTAGTGCCAGCCCCAGACACCCCCACCCTCCCCCAGGCCAGTAGTGCCAGCCCCAGGCCAGTAGTGCCAGCCCCCGACACCCCCACCCTCCCCCAGGCCAGTAGTGCCAGCCCCAGGCCAGTTTTGCCAGCCCCAGACACCCTCACCCTCCCCCAGGCCAGTAGTGCCAGCCCCAGGCACCCTCCCCCAGGTCAGTAGTGCCAGCCCCAGACACCCTCCCCCAGGTCAGTAGTGCCAGCCCCAGACACCCTCCCCCAGGTCAGTAGTGCCAGCCCCAGACACCCTCCCCCAGGTCAGTAGTGCCAGCCCCAGACACCCTCCCCCAGGTCAGTTGTGCCAGCCCCAGACACCCTCCCCCAGGCCAGTAGTGCTAGCCCCAGACACCCCCACCCTCCCCCAGGCCAGTAGTGCCAGCCCCAGGCACCCTCCCCCAGGCCAGTAGTGCCAGCCCCAGGCACCCTCCCCCAGGCCAGTAGTGCCAGCCCCAGACACCCCCACCCTCCCCCAGGCCAGTAGTGCCAGCCCCAGACACCCTCCCCCAGGTCAGTTGTGCCAGCCCCAGGCACCCTCCCCCAGGTCAGTAGTGCCAGCCCCAGACACCCTCCCCCAGGTCAGTAGTGCCAGCCCCAGACACCCTCCCCCAGGTCAGTAGTGCCAGCCCCAGACACCCTCCCCAGGTCAGTAGTGCCAGCCCCAGACACCCTCCCCCAGGTCAGTTGTGCCAGCCCCAGACACCCTCCCCCAGGCCAGTAGTGCTAGCCCCAGACACCCCCACCCTCCCCCAGGCCAGTAGTGCCAGCCCCAGACACCCTCCCCCAGGTCAGTAGTGCCAGCCCCAGGCACCCTCCCCCAGGTCAGTAGTGCCAGCCCCAGACACCCTCCCCCAGGTCAGTAGTGCCAGCCCCAGACACCCTCCCCCAGGTCAGTAGTGCCAGCCCCAGGCACCCCCACCCTCCCCCAGGCCAGTAGTGCCAGCCCCAGACACCCCCACCCTCCCCCAGGCCAGTAGTGCCAGCCCCAGGCCAGTAGTGCCAGCCCCAGACACCCCCACCCTCCCCCAGGCCAGTAGTGCCAGCCCCAGGCCAGTTTTGCCAGCCCCAGACACCCACACCCTCCCCCAGGCCAGTAGTGCCAGCCCCAGGCACCCTCCCCCAGGTCAGTAGTGCCAGCCCCAGACACCCTCCCCCAGGTCAGTAGTGCCAGCCCCAGACACCCTCCCCAGGTCAGTAGTGCCAGCCCCAGACACCCTCCCCCAGGTCAGTTGTGCCAGCCCCAGACACCCTCCCCCAGGCCAGTAGTGCCAGCCCCAGACACCCTCCCCCAGGCCAGTAGTGGTAGGCCCAGCCCCAGACACCCTCCCCCAGGCCAGTAGTGCCAGCCCCAGCCACCCTCCCCCAGGCCAGTAGTGCCAGCCCCAGACACCCCCACCCTCCCCCAGGCCAGTAGTGCCAGCCCCAGACACCCTCCCCCAGGTCAGTAGTGCCAGCCCCAGGCACCCTCCCCCAGGTCAGTAGTGCCAGCCCCAGACACCCTCCCCCAGGTCAGTAGTGCCAGCCCCAGACACCCTCCCCCAGGTCAGTAGTGCCAGCCCCAGACACCCTCCCCAGGTCAGTAGTGCCAGCCCCAGACACCCTCCCCCAGGTCAGTTGTGCCAGCCCCAGACACCCTCCCCCAGGCCAGTAGTGCTAGCCCCAGACACCCCCACCCTCCCCCAGGCCAGTAGTGCCAGCCCCAGACACCCTCCCCCAGGTCAGTAGTGCCAGCCCCAGGCACCCTCCCCCAGGTCAGTAGTGCCAGCCCCAGACACCCTCCCCCAGGTCAGTAGTGCCAGCCCCAGACACCCTCCCCCAGGTCAGTAGTGCCAGCCCCAGACACCCTCCCCCAAGTCAGTAGTGCCAGCCCCAGACACCCTCCCCCAGGTCAGTAGTGCCAGCCCCAGACACCCCCACCCTCCCCCAGGTCAGTAGTGCCAGCCCCAGACACCCCCACCCTCCCCAGGCCAGTAGTGCCAGCCCCAGACACCCTCCCCCAGGTCAGTAGTGCCAGCCCCAGACACCCTCCCCCAGGCCAGTAGTGCCAGCCCCAGACACCCCCACCCTCCCCCAGGTCAGTAGTGCCAGCCCCAGGCACCCCCACCCTCCCCCAGGTCAGTAGTGCCAGCCCCAGACACCCACACCCTCCCCCAGGTCAGTAGTGCCAGCCCCAGGCACCCTCCCCCAGGCCAGTAGTGCCAGCCCCAGGCACCCCCACCCTCCCCCAGGTCAGTAGTGCCAGCCCCAGGCACCCCCACCGTCCCCCAGGTCAGTAGTGCCAGCCCCAGACACCCCCACCCTCCCCCAGGCCAGTAGTGCCAGCCCCAGACACCCCCACCCTCCCCCAGGCCAGTAGTGCCAGCCCCAGACACCCCCACCCTCCCCCAGGCCAGTAGTGCCAGCCCCAGACACCCCCACCCTCCCCCAGGTCAGTAGTGCCAGCCCCAGACACCCCCACCCTCCCCCAGGCCAGTAGTGCCAGCCCCAGACACCCCCACCCTCCCCCAGGCCAGTAGTGCCAGCCCCAGACACCCCCACCCTCCCCCAGGCCAGTAGTGCCAGCCCCAGACACCCCCACCCTCCCCCAGTCCAGTAGTGCCAGCCCCAGACACCCCCACCCTCCCCCAGACCAGTAGTGCCAGCCCCAGACACCCCCACCCTCCCCCAGGTCAGTAGTGCCAGCCCCAGACACCCCCACCCTCCCCCAGGTCAGTAGTGCCAGCCCCAGACACCCCCACCCTCCCCCAGGCCAGTAGTGCCAGCCCCAGACACCCCCACCCTCCCCCAGGCCAGTAGTGCCAGCCCCAGACACCCTCCCCCAGGCCAGTAGTGCCAGCCCCAGACACCCCCACCCTCCCCCAGGTCAGTAGTGCCAGCCCCAGACACCCCCACCCTCCCCCAGGCCAGTAGTGCCAGCCCCAGACACCCCCACCCTCCCCCAGGCCAGTAGTGCCAGCCCCAGACACCCCCACCCTCCCCCAGGCCAGTAGTGCCAGCCCCAGACACCCCCACCCTCCCCCAGTCCAGTAGTGCCAGCCCCAGACACCCCCACCCTCCCCCAGACCAGTAGTGCCAGCCCCAGACACCCCCACCCTCCCCCAGGTCAGTAGTGCCAGCCCCAGACACCCCCACCCTCCCCCAGGTCAGTAGTGCCAGCCCCAGACACCCCCACCCTCCCCCAGGCCAGTAGTGCCAGCCCCAGACACCCCCACCCTCCCCCAGGCCAGTAGTGCCAGCCCCAGACACCCTCCCCCAGGCCAGTAGTGCCAGCCCCAGACACCCCCACCCTCCCCCAGGTCAGTAGTGCCAGCCCCAGACACCCCCACCCTCCCCCAGGCCAGTAGTGCCAGCCCCAGACACCCCCACCCTCCCCCGTCTGTGTTTTCATCTCAGGTAAAAGCCAACATTAAAGACTGTAATATATTGGTAGTGGCATTAAGGTGTGTTACAGGTGAGAACATTGTACAAGTGGAGGTGCGGCGGTAACCCTGGTGCTGGTGGTGTTGCAGGAGACGGTCCCAGTCCGTGCCGGCGGGGGGCCATGGTCAGGGCCACGGCCAGGGCCACCTGCTGGCCTCGTGTGAGGACTGGAAGTGGCCCGGCAAGGCTACAGGGAATATGGGGCCACATGTGCAGGAGGCCCACCTGTTGCTGCGCTCCGCCGCCCTCCACTCCCTGCCCAGACTCCACACTGGCTGACCTGCTGTCCTCCTGGCCTGCTGTCCTCCTGGCCTGCTGTCCTCCTGGCCTGCTGTCCTCCTGGCCTGCTGTCCTCCTGGCCTGCTGCTCTCCTGGCCTGCTGCTCTCCACCTGCCCAGACTACTTTAACGTTAACAATATTAACATCAGATAGATAATGTTAGCATTAGCAATAACAATGTGGGAAAATTACTTGACCTATACTTAGACACGAGACTCAACTTCAATACCCACATGCAACACATAGCCAATATAGTCGCAAAAACGGTCGGTATGTTGACCAGACCACACGCTAGAAGGTGAAGGGGCGACGACGTTTCGGTCCGTCCTGGACCATTCTCAAGTCGATTGTCGACTTGAGAATGGTCCAGGACGTCCCTTCGCCTTCTAGTGTGTGGTCTGGTCAACATACTTTAGCCACGTTATTGTGACTCATCGCCTGCAGGAGGTCGGTATACTCTCTAAAATCAGATCTTATATTCCCCACTCTGCTCTCCTCTCACTATACTACACGCTAATCTATCCCTGTCTTACATATGGTATCTGTGCATGGGGCTTCAATCACTGCAAACTACCTCAAGCCCATCATCACTCAGCATATCAGAACTATAACAAACTCTGTCTTCAGACAACACTCAGCCCCCTCTGTTTAAGTCCCTTAACGTGCTAAACATACACTCACTCCACACATTCTCTTGTGGTATCTACATGTACAAAAACCTTGTTCCTAAATACTAATCTTGATCTGAAACTTTTCCTTGATAGGTGTAATAGAACCCATGAGCACCACACCAGAAATAAATATATCCTTGATATCCCCAGAGTCAGGCTAAATCTGTGTAAACGCTTCATGCAAGTAAAAGTGCCCAGTCCATGGAACTCTCTCCCTGATGAATTAAAAAATAATCCATCCTATACCTTATTAAAATGTAAAACCATAAAGTACCTAATTTCATCCACATAGTTTCCCACCTTGTGCTTCAAACTCACACAGTAACTTGTACTGCCCACTTCCACAATATTAGTACTTAAGACATATATCCTTATCTTTGTAATCACCACTGTCAACTTATGTTGTAGTTATTTATTGATATAAATCCTTGCTACAATGTACATTTTTTTTTTTTTTTGAGATATATACAAGAGTTGTTACATTCTTGTACAGCCACTAGTACGCGTAGCGTTTCGGGCAAGTCCTTAATCCTATGTTCCCTGGAATACGATCCCCTGCCGCGAAGAATCGTTTTTTCATCCAAGTACACATTTTACTGTTGCGTTAAACAGAGGCTACAGTTAAGGATTTGCGCCCAGTAAATCCTCCCCGGCCAGGATTCGAACCCATGACATAGCGCTCGCGGAACGCCAGGCGAGTGTCTTACCACTACACCACGGAGACCTACATTTTCATCTTACCTGATGTGTTAGGTTAAGGACCTGCCAGAAACGCTGTGTGTGTTAGTGGCTTGGCAAGAATGTAGAAATATCAGTCTTATGTAATCTCATCAACCCATTGTACCTTCTTCTGAATAAATTATTATTATTAAGACTTTGGATTGCATTCCATCCACACCCGGAGCTTCTGAGTCTTTTAGTTTGTCAAAATTATTTCTAATTATTTCGCATGTTATTGGTATATTCCTAAATTCATTCTCCTCCCTTCCTTCAGACATGTGTGTGGGTGAAGGGATGACATCCGTTCACCCGGGTGAAGGGATGTCATCCCATCACCCGTGTTATAGCGGACTAGCAGACCATGAACTAACTTTGGCAGCTCCATCTTTTGCAGTGAGCTTTCTCTCACTCCCAGTAGTAGCGAAGCTTTCAAACATGTGAAGAACCTGTCACCTGCCTTATCATTGTAGGCATCCTGCAGTCTCCGGAGACTATGGAGTTACGCTCTGGTTGTCGAGGCTGGAGTGGCCTCTCCAGGGCGCAAAGCCAGAGTAGGTCGATATGGAGGACAAGCTGTTACCCATGCAGCAGGTCCCCCCTCTCCACGATGCTGAAATTGTCCGCCTGGCGCTTGGTTCCAGCGCTGTCGTAGTAGCTGCCAGTACGAGGTTGAAACCAACAACGAACTGCCTTAGGGGTTCCAACTCCGGATTTTTCCTCGAGATTGACTCCTGAAGCCTGTCCCAAAACTGGGTATGGCCGCGAGGCAGCGGAAGTTTGAAGTCAGGCTTTTCCTTCCCCTAGATGAGCTGCCTTCCCAGGCTGTCCCATCTACCCGGAGCAGGTGGTTGTAAGGCGCCAGAGGCACGAGCTCGCGCACGAGGACGAGGACCTGAAGGGCCGCCCCTGGTCCTACTCCTGCAGCAGGTTGGTAGCCTCGCTGAAGGCCCTACAGCACCTCACGGAGGAGGACTGGGAGGCCTCCGGGGACTACCACACACTACAATTAACGCACAACATTCTTCCTCAGCGAGGCTGCCAGCCTGCTGCAGGAGTAAGACCAGGGGCGGTCCTTCCGGTCCTCGTCCTGACCTGATCATCATGTTTATAATTATCACACCACATAAGGCACACATTTTCAGAACCCCCAGTAGTTCTGGCAGACCAGTTGAAGCTTGGTGAAATTAATAGCCAGTGTCATCAACTGAAGTTTAAGAACTTGAACTCTCATTCTCACTCATTCTTCCAAGCTCTCTCATTCTACTATCCACCGAAGCCGTAACTGCCAAAACTGTGTTGAGTTTTAAAATATACCTAGAAAAGATCATCAAGGTACATGGGGAGGGGACCTTCAACAAGCCGCCGTCTTCCTGTCCTTGTGTCGAGGCCACTAGGGTTAGTGGCCCTCAGGTAAAATTCTTCCTGTTTCTCCCATCATGGAGTACTGCGAGTCTGCTTAACTATTATATAAGAACATAAGAACAAAGGTAACTGCAGAAGGCCTATTGGCCCATACGAGGCAGCTCCTATCTATAACCAGCCAATCTCACTTATATACTTGTCCAATATCACCATTAATATTGTAATTGGTGATGACAATGGGAAATTATAGTGATACTTTATTTCACTTTCGAATAAAATAGTGATTGATCCATTTTCACTTCATTAATATATTATATTTTCACCTTACATCAGTGGGAGGCATTTGGAAGGTCATTAATGTAGATGAGAAAGAGGCGAGGGCCAAGCATGCTGCCCTGTGTTGATGGGTAGGGTGGGAGGAATAGAATTATTCACAGAAACATACTGGAGCCTGTCAGTAAGGTAAGACTGAAGGTATTGCAGGGAGTGTCCTCTGACTCCATAATGATGTAATTTAAGAAGGTTTTGGTGGTTGACAGTGTCAAAAGCCTTACGCAGGTCCACAAATAACCCAACAGGGAACTCATTTTTATCAAGAGCTGAATGTATCAAGTTAATCATACTAATAAGTGCATCGTTAGTGCTTTTATTGAGTCTGAAACCATGTTTAAAAACCTTGTTTAAATCCCTAAACATGCTAAACATAAACTCCCTTCACTCATTCTTTTGTGTCAACTACATTTACAAAACCCTGTTCATAAATGCAAATCCTGCTCTGAAACTCTCCCTGGACAGATGTAATAGGACCCATTATCACCACACCAGAAATAAATATCTCTTTGATATCCCCAGAGTCAAACTTAATCTGTGTAAACACTCTATGCAAATAAAGGGACCCAGTCTATGGAACTCACTCCCTAATGAATTGAAAAGCTGTCCAACTTTTGCATCATTCAAAAACAAAACTAAAAAGTACCTAATTTCATCTTCATAGTTTCCTATCTTGTTGCTTTAAAATTGCACTGTATCTAGTGCTACCCAATCTCCCAATCTTTATGTACCCAATCCAAACAACTTTACCATTGTGATCATTGCTGTCTTCTTATATGTGCTGTCAATCTGCTGTATGGTGCCTATTAATCTTGTCTAAATTACCAATCAAGCTGCCAATGCAATCAATTATACCTTTAATATACCAATGTGCTTTAATATACTTACTAATCTCTCTCATCTCATTTTTCTTTTTTCTTGCTATGTATTTGTTATCATTTTATTAATTCTGCTAGAATTTACCTACTTAAAGTTATCTGTTAGATTAAGGACCTGCCCGAACCGCTGCGCGTACTAGTGGCTTTACAAGATTGTAAATACTATGCTGTGTATCCTCACAAACCCAATGTACCTTCTTGTATATAAATAAATAAATAAATAAATTGTTCATTACTTCCCACCTTTTGAACTAAGAGGATGAATTCATTAGCTCCCCCACCTCTCATTAATCTAGTGGCAGAGGCTACATTTATCTCTGAAATTCTATCCCCCAGTACTCCTCAGATTCAAGTCCATCCTCATTATCTCAATCATAGCATTTCTTGGGCATCCTAAGATAATTCTCATGGCTTCATTATACACCTTCTCCAACTTGCCCTTCCTACCTTTACCAAAACAAGAAATGACAGGTGCAGCATAATCAGTAAGAGATCTTACAGTACACAAGTATATCATTAGTAACACAGGGACTCCCACTCTCTTTCCACAGCATGTCAAGGCCTTCAGAGGTTGTATAATCTCTTCTCACATTGACGCCAACCACTTGGGCTGGACGGTAGAGCGGCGGTCTCGCTTTATTTATTTATTTATTTATTTATATACAAGAAGGTACATTGGGATTGTGAGGATACATAGCATAGTAATTATATTCTTGTAAAGCCACTAGTACGCGCAGCGTTTCGGGCAGAAATTTCATGCAGGTCGGCGTTCAATTCCCGACCGTCCAAGTGGTTGGGGCACCATTCCCCCCCCCCCGTCCCATCCTAAATCCTTATCCTTTCCCAGTGGTATATAGTCGCGATGGCTTGGCGCTTTACCCTGATAGTTCCCTGCCCACATTGACCCAACAGTCTGTTCATCTCAGCTTCCAAAGTCTCGTGGGTATATCCAACATATATGTCTAAATATTTATATATATTAACTCTCGACATTTTTACGATATAATTTTAATATAATGGGCCTCCGACTTCTACATTCAAACAGTTTTTGTCTTCATTTTGAATTATGTTTGTAACTCAACTTGATATGTACTTTCAGCTGAATAGACAAAAACGTCATTGCTATGTACTCTTATAAACCCAGTGTACCTTCTTGTATATATGTAAATAAATGAATAAATAAATAAATAAATAAATAAATAAATAAATAAATAAATAAATAAATAAATAAATAAATAAATAAATAAATAAATAAATAAATTTGATTTGAATTTATTTGAAACGCCTGAGGAAGCCTTCAACAAGTTCCAATATTGCCGCTCTTGTATCCATAAATGTCCCCAGAGTCAAGGCTATGACCTCACACACCGGCTACACAACACACACAAAACATCTACAATTTCCACCAGAACAGCTTATTTTAAGTCAGGCTCAATTAACGTGCACAAAATTACGTTAGTTTATTTTAGTTTTGAATAGAATAGAATGGATTAAAACAGCATAGCATTGGTTTGTTTAGTGAATAGCAATGACGTCGACTCTCACACATATCTGCCCTTTTTGAACCCTACCTGCGGGTCATGTTCTTTGGCTTTTTTTACCATGGAAAAGTTACGAATATTAACTAAGGAGTAATAATTTCACTGTAATATATTATATTTTTACAGTATTATGTTTTTACAGTGTGTGAAAGACAGAAAATGAACGTAGGTGAATATATTAACTGGTAAACCGTGAGCGGTTGTACCCAGTGACCGGCTAGTGATGGCGGCGTTTGGTGCTCTTTTGAGGCTCCCCAGGGTAAGTCTGGGCCCCTGGGGCAGTGTGTGGATGGGTGAGGCTCCCTCAGGGTAAGTGTCGGGCCACTGGGGCAGTGTGGGGATGGGTGAGGCTCCCCCAGGGTAAGTGTCGGGCCCCTGGGGCAGTGTGTGGATGGGTGAGGCTCCCTCAGGGTAAGTGTCGGGCCCCTGGGGCAGTGTGTGGATGGGTGAGGCTCCCCAGGGTAAGTGTGGGCCCCTGGGGCAGTGTGTGGATGGGTGAGGCTCCCCCAGGGTAAGTGTGGGCCCCTGGGGCAGTGTGTGGATGGGTGAGGCTCCCCAGGGTAAGTGTTGGCCCCCTGGGGCAGTGTGTGGATGGGTGAGGCTCCCCCAGGGTAAGTGTCGGGCCACTGGGGCAGTGTGTGGATGGGTGAGGCTCCCCCAGGGTAAGTGTCGGGCCACTGGGGCAGTGTGTGGATGGGTGAGGCTCCCCCAGGGTAAGTGTCGGCCCCCTGGGGCAGTGTGTGGATGGGTGAGGCTCCCTCAGGGTAAGTGTCGGGCCCCTGGGGCAGTGTGTGGATGGGTGAGGCTCCCCCAGGGTAAGTCTGGGCCCCTGGGGCAGTGTGTGGATGGGTGAGGCTCCCTCAGGGTAAGTGTCGGGCCCCTGGGGCAGTGTGTGGATGGGTGAGGCTCCCCAGGGTAAGTGTGGGCCCCTGGGGCAGTGTGTGGATGGGTGAGGCTCCCTCAGGGTAAGTGTCGGGCCCCTGGGGCAGTGTGTGGATGGGTGAGGCTCCCCAGGGTAAGTGTTGGGCCCCTGGGGCAGTGTGTGGATGGGTGAGGCTCCCCAGGGTAAGTCTGGCTCCTGGGGCAGTGTGTGGATGGGTGAGGCTCCCCAGGGTAAGTGTGGCCCCCTGGGGCAGTGTGTGGATGGGTGAGGCTCCCCCAGGGTAAGTGTTGGCCCCCTGGGGCAGTGTGTGGATGGGTGAGGCTCCCCCAGGGTAAGTGTTGGCCCCTGGGGCAGTGTGTGGATGGGTGAGGCTCCCCAGGGTAAGTGTTTGCCCCTGGGGCAGTGTGTGGATGGGTGAGGCTCCCCCAGGGTAAGTGTCGGGCCCCTGGGGCAGTGTGTGGATGGGTGAGGCTCCCCAGGGTAATTGTTGGCCCCTGGGGCAGTGTGTGGATGGGTGAGGCTCCCCCAGGGTAAGTGTCGGCTCCCTGGGGCAGTGTGTGGATGGGTGAGGCTCCCCCAGGGTAAGTGTTGGCCCCCTGGGGCAGTGTGTGGATGGGTGAGGCTCCCCCTGGGTAAGTGTTGGCCCCCTGGGGCAGTGTGTGGATGGGTGAGGCTCCCCCAGGGTAAGTGTTGGCCCCTGGGGCAGTGTGTGGATGGGTGAGGCTCCCCAGGGTAAGTGTGTGGATGGGTGAGGCTCCCCAGGGTAAGTGTGTGGATGGGTGAGGCTCCCCCAGGGTAAGTCTGGGCCCCTGGGGCAGTGTGTGGATGGGTGAGGCTCCCCCAGGGTAAGTGTTGGCCCCCTGGGGCAGTGTGTGGATGGGTGAGGCTCCCCAGGGTAAGTGTGTGGATGGGTGAGGCTCCCCCTGGTAAGTGTTGGCCCCCTGGGGCAGTGTGTGGATGGGTGAGGCTCCCCAGGGTAAGTGTGTGGATGGGTGAGGCTCCCCCAGGGTAAGTCTGGGCCCCTGGGGCAGTGTGTGGATGGGTGAGGCTCCCCAGGGTAAGTGTTGGCCCCCTGGGGCAGTGTGTGGATGGGTGAGGATCCCCCAGGGTAAGTCTGGGCCCCTGGGGCAGTGTGTGGATGGGTGAGGCTCTCCAGGGTAAGTGTGTGGATGGGTGAGGCTCCCCCAGGGTAAGTCTGGGCCCCTGGGGCAGTGTGTGGATGGGTGAGGCTCCCCCAGGGTAAGTGTTGGCCCCCTGGGGCAGTGTGTGGATGGGTGAGGCTCCTCCAGGGTAAGTCTGGGCCCCTGGGGTGGTGTGTGGATGGGTGAGGCTCCCCAGGGTAAGTCTGGGCCCCTGGGGCAGTGTGTGGATGGGTGAGGCTCCCCAGGGTAAGTGTCGGCCCCCTGGGGCAGTGTGTGGATGGGTGAGGCTCCCCCTGGGTAAGTGTTGGCCCCTGGGGCAGTGTGTGGATGGGTGAGGCTCCCCAGGGTAAGTGTGGGCCCCTGGGGCAGTGTGTGGATGTGTGAAGCTCCCCCAGGGTAAGTGTTGGGCCCCTGGGGTAGTGTGTGGATGGGTGAGGCTCCCCAGGGTAAGTGTGGGCCCCTGGGGCAGTGTGTGGATGTGTGAGGCTACCCCAGGGTAAGTGTTGGGCCCCTGGGGCAGTGTAGGGATGGTTGAGGCTCCCCCAGGGTAAGTGTTGGCCCCTGGGGCAGTGTGTGGATGGGTGAGGCTCCCCAGGGTAAGTGTTGGCCCCCTGGGGCAGTGTGTGGATGGGTGAGGCTCCCCCAGGGTAAGTGTGGGCCCCTGGGGCAGTGTGTGGATGGGTGAGGCTCCCCCAGGGTAAGTGTTGGCCCCTGGGGCAGTGTGTGGATGGGTGAGGCTCCCCCAGGGTAAGTGTTGGCCCCCTGGGGCAGTGTGTGGATGGGTGAGGCTCCCCAGGGTAAGTGTTGGCCCCCCTGGGGCAGTGTGTGGATGGGTGAGGCTCCCCAGGGTAAGTGTCGGCCCCCTGGGGCAGTGTGTGGATGGGTGAGGCCCCCAGGGTAAGTGTTGGGCCCCTGGGGCAGTGTGTGGATGGGTGAGGCTCCCCAGGGTAAGTGTCGGCCCCCTGGGGCAGTGTGTGGATGGGTGAGGCTCCCCAGGGTAAGTGTCGGCCCCCTGGGGCAGTGTGTGGATGTGTGAGGCTCCCCAGAGTAAGTGTTGGGCCCCTGGGGCAGTGTGTGGATGGGTGAGGCTCCCCCAGGGTAAGTGTTGGCCCCCTGGGGCAGTGTGTGGATGGGTGAGGCTCCCCAGGGTAAGTGTTGGCCCCCTGGGGCAGTGTGTGGATGGGTGAGGCTCCCCAGGGTAAGTGTTGGCCCCTGGGGCAGTGTGTGGATGGGTGAGGCTCCCCCAGGGTAAGTGTTGGCCCCCTGGGGCAGTGTGTGGATGGGTGAGGCTCTCCCAGGGTAAGTGTTGGCCCCTGGGGCAGTGTGTGGATGGGTGAGGCTCCCCAGGGTAAGTGTCGGCCCCCTGGGGCAGTATGTGGATGGGTGAGGCTCCCCAGGGTAAGTGTTGGCCCCCTGGGGCAGTGTGTGGATGGGTGAGGCTCCCCCAGGGTAAGTGTGGGCCCCTGGGGCAGTGTGTGGATGGGTGAGGCTCCCCCAGGGTAAGTGTTGGCCCCTGGGGCAGTGTGTGGATGGGTGAGGTTCCCCCAGGGTAAGTGTTGGCCCCCTGGGGCAGTGTGTGGATGGGTGAGGCTCCCCAGGGTAAGTGTTGGCCCCCCTGGGGCAGTGTGTGGATGGGTGAGGCTCCCCAGGGTAAGTGTCGGCCCCCTGGGGCAGTGTGTGGATGGGTGAGGCTCCCCAGGGTAAGTGTTGGCCCCCTGGGGCAGTGTGTGGATGGGTGAGGCTCCCCAGGGTAAGTGTCGGCCCCCTGGGGCAGTGTGTGGATGGGTGAGGCTCCCCAGGGTAAGTGTTGGGCCCCTGGGGCAGTGTGTGGATGGGTGAGGCTCCCCAGGGTAAGTGTTGGCCCCCTGGGGCAGTGTGTGGATGGGTGAGGCTCCCCAGGGTAAGTGTCGGCCCCCTAGGGCAGTGTGTGGATGGGTGAGGCTCCCCAGGGTAAGTGTTGGCCCCTGGGGCAGTGTGTGGATGGGTGAGGCTCCCCCAGGGTAAGTGTTGGCCCCCTGGGGCAGTGTGTGGATGGGTGAGGCTCTCCCAGGGTAAGTGTTGGCCCCTGGGGCAGTGTGTGGATGGGTGAGGCTCCCCAGGGTAAGTGTCGGCCCCCTGGGGCAGTGTGTGGATGGGTGAGGCTCCCCAGGGTAAGTGTTGGGCCCCTGGGGCAGTGTGTGGATGGGTGAGGCTCCCCAGGGTAAGTGTCGGCCCCCTGGGGCAGTGTGTGGATGGGTGAGGCTCCCCAGGGTAAGTGTCGGCCCCCTGGGGCAGTGTGTGGATGTGTGAGGCTCCCCAGAGTAAGTGTTGGCCCCCTGGGGCAGTGTGTGGATGGGTGAGGCTCCCCAGGGCAAGTGTCGGCCCCCTGGGGCAGTGTGTGGATGGGTGAGGCTCCCCAGGGTAAGTGTTGGCCCCTGGGGCAGTGTGTGGATGGGTGAGGCTCCCCCAGGGTAAGTGTTGGCCCCCTGGGGCAGTGTGTGGATGGGTGAGGCTCTCCCAGGGTAAGTGTTGGCCCCTGGGGCAGTGTGTGGATGGGTGAGGCTCCCCAGGGTAAGTGTCGGCCCCCTGGGGCAGTGTGTGGATGGGTGAGGCTCCCCAGGGTAAGTGTTGGCCCCCTGGGGCAGTGTGTGGATGGGTGAGGCTCCCCCAGGGTAAGTGTGGGCCCCTGGGGCAGTGTGTGGATGGGTGAGGCTCCCCCAGGGTAAGTGTTGGCCCCTGGGGCAGTGTGTGGATGGGTGAGGTTCCCCCAGGGTAAGTGTTGGCCCCCTGGGGCAGTGTGTGGATGGGTGAGGCTCCCCAGGGTAAGTGTTGGCCCCCCTGGGGCAGTGTGTGGATGGGTGAGGCTCCCCAGGGTAAGTGTCGGCCCCCTGGGGCAGTGTGTGGATGGGTGAGGCTCCCCAGAGTAAGTGTTGGCCCCCTGGGGCAGTGTGTGGATGGGTGAGGCTCCCCAGGGTAAGTGTCGGCCCCCTGGGGCAGTGTGTGGATGGGTGAGGCTCCCCAGGGTAAGTGTTGGACCCCTGGGGCAGTGTGTGGATGGGTGAGGCTCCCCAGGGTAAGTGTTGGGCCCCTGGGGCAGTGTGTGGATGGGTGAGGCTCCCCAGGGTAAGTGTTGGCCCCCTGGGGCAGTGTGTGGATGGGTGAGGCTCCCCAGGGTAAGTGTCGGCCCCCTGGGGCAGTGTGTGGATGTGTGAGGCTCCCCAGAGTAAGTGTTGGGCCCCTGGGGCAGTGTGTGGA